TATATATATATATATATATATATATATATATATATATATAACCATACACAAATTCTCTAGTCAATACAAAATTAAACACAAATATATTGGAAATGTGTTCTTTTGAGTCAATATAGTAGTGATTTCAGTAAATTTATATGAGTAGGAATGCCATCAATATAAATTTTGATACATCTTTATTTAAAAAATTCACTTCATCCAGATTAAGCTTCTAGGAAAAACAAGGCCAAATTTCAAGGGATCAAATGTTTTAGAAAAAGAACATTTTTCTGGACAAAAACACCTCATGCCCTCCTGAACTATTTAATACTTGGAAAGAAAAAATTCAAAACACCTAGAAAGATTATTGAAAAAAATTTTATGAAAATAATTGTGCTTCCATTAATTGCACTTTGTAACACTAAAAGCAGTCATTTCTAGTCAAGCCAGGATGTAAAATTTAAAACAATTTAGGAATTCACATATAAGTAAAAGCTGCTTGTAATATTTTCATGCTGAGCCCTGAAATAAATGCCTGCATTTGTAACAGTCCCTCCCCCACTTTCCTACTCATTCATTTCTTAGTCTTTTAAAAGAAGCTGGTAAACTGAAATTGCGCTGAAGAGTTTTCATCAAATTAACTTTCTCTGGAATACATGGAAAACACAGTGCATGTGTTAGAGACAACCATTAGAAACCTGCTGTGCTCCACCAAAATGGCTGCAACACGGGCAACCTGGCACTCTCTGGCCACTTTGCATGACTCCATGCCTCTGCAAATGCTATCTTCTCTCTTTAAAATATCAACTGAAGAAATACTTATCCCTCAAAACTCAGCTCAAATGCAACCTTTTCTACATAGAAAAGATGACTCTGAGGCCCTTATGCCCCAAGATTCATTTATCCAAATCTTTCATGATACCTGGCCCACAGCAGGGGAGCAGTAAGTCATTTTTCAATGGACTGATTCAATCTTAATAACTTGTTTATAGACATCATGTAAGAAGTGTCATAATTAGCCAGGCGCAGTGGCACACGCCTGTAATCCCAGCAGCTTGGGAGGCTGAGGCAGGAGGATCACAAGTTCAAAGCCAGCCTCAACAATGGCAAGATGCTTGGGCTGGGGATGTGGCTCAAGCGGTAGCGCGCTCGCCTGGCATGCGTGCGGCCCGGGTTCGATCCTCAGCACCACGTACAAACAAAGATGTTGTGTCCACCGAAAAACTAAAAATAAATAAATAAATAAATAAATAAAAAAAAAATTATAAAAAAAAAAAAAAACAATGGCAAGATGCTAAGCAACTCAGTGAGATCCTGTCTCTAAATAAAATACAAAATAGGGCTGGGGATGTGGCTCAGTGGTCAAGAGCCTCTGAGCTCAATCTCTACTATCCCCACCCCCCCAAAAAAAAAGAAATGTCATAATTAATTTCACATTATTCCCAGTTATCACTGAAGTATCCAAAACAATATATACTTATTAATGATTTGCTTTACTCTGTATTTACATGACAGAAAATATCTTCCACATGTTCAATAAACATTTACTATAGGCCAAGCACAGTGTTATGTACTGGGGATACAAAAGTTAACTAGAAAAAAGATTTTTAAGAAGTTCAGAATCTAAAGGAGAAAACAGGCAAGAAGATCAATAACTGCAGCACAAACAAAGAAGCACTTTGGGGAATGGGGTTGTGGCTCAGAGGTAGAGCACTTGCCTAGTATGCGTGAGGCTCTGGGTTCAATCCTAAGCACTACATAAAAATAAAATAAAGGTATTGTGTTCATCTACAACTAAAGAATAAATATAAAAGAAAAGAAGTACTTTGAATAAAAGTACACCACAGATATCATAATGACCCCATGGAAGAGCACCAAAAGAGGGTGCCCTAACCCTAACATGTAGAGTACGACAGAGCTCCACAAACCATACTCCCAAATAATGTGTAAAATCCTTTTTTAAAGGTTTCCGTAGAGACTGTTAAGAGCAAGAGTACACAGCAGAACAAGAACAATATGTTTCAGAATAGAACCAGTCACACGTGTTTTTTGTCATTTTAGTCTCCAGTCCTTGTGAAAATTTGGCATAGAAACTTTATAAAGAAATTTTACAGGATATGTATGAAAAAAAAAAGTTGAGACTTTGGCTGTGTTTGCTATAGTGCAATGAAAGAACTGTTTGTTAAAATGTCAGTCTACAAGACTGCAAAAAACGTTTTGAGACTCAAAAATACGAATAATCGTGCCCTCGAGTATTTGCCATTTTATGAAAGGGAAGGATTTGCATTTAGCTTTATTTCACAAACAGTCTAACCTGGTGCAGTCATGCATGCCTATATAATCCCAGCTACTTGGGAGGCTGAGGCAGGAGGATAGCAAATTCAAGACCTACGTGGGCAACTTAGCAAGATACTTGATCAAAAATGAAAAGTAAAAAAGGCTGGGAATGTAGCCCAGTCATAGAGCACCTCTAGGTTCTATCAGAAACAAAAGAAGAAAAGTCAGCCTGAGACAAAAATTACTTAGAGGCTAACCCTATCATCATATGAGTCTATGTTAAAACTTTAGATCTTAAAAGAAAAAGAATATAATCTGAAGATTGATAGAATTTACCCCTTAAAAACTGTTATGCTTCCAATAAATAAGATATTTGTGACAAGAGTCAGTAATACTCTTAAGTCTTTCAACAAGGAACACTAACATATGTATACATACATATGAACATACCTATATAACAATGGACATAGATAGGCAGTTGAAATATTTCAATATATCAAGGTGAATGAGTTACCAACACCCTAACGTTGGAGCATAAAATCTTAAGGCCAGTAAATATTTTTCACATTTGCTTGTTATCAACTGAAGAACCTAGCAAAATGCAAACATTTAGAAGGTGACATTATCATTTCATTGCTTAGATTGAATGTCCAATACAGAATAAAAAAAAAAGAAGGAGAAAGAAAAGAGTAGTTCTCAGAGTCAGAAAATAATTCAATGGGGGTTTTCAATTTTTTAGATTAAATGATTTTTTTGTCATATTATATCCAATATACTACCATAAACTTAAAAGAAAATCATTACTTTTCAAAGTTCTGTGAAAGGGCAACAAAATATTTGTTAGTGATTATAAACAAGCTTCTCTGAACAAAATTTAAATTTTTTTGGTGGATTATTTTTATAACTGTTGGATAGAAAAAAAATGCAAAATTAAAGAAACAAATGTACTCTGAAAAGGGGGAATTTTTTAAAGCTGTCCCTATTAATAGACTAATTTCATTAGAAAACTCTGGAAAGAGCAAACTCAATTTTACAAGCAGCTAAAGTGTTTTTATGGAAGAGAGGTATTTACAAGCAGTTATAAAAGTGATTTAACAGCAAAATTCTTTCTATAATCCTCAGTTTATTACACTTAAGCATTATGTAGCATGCCAACTTCTGTACAATTATATTTCCCACTTAAAGCAAATAATGGCAATTATGAATAATCATGGATTTTAGATACAGTAACCTTTTAATTTATTATCTTAACTAGGATGCTTTTGAGAGTGAAATGGTGTGTTAATAAGTCTGCCATGAGAACAGGTATAATCTGGTACTGGACCTGACAACCAGAAAGTATGGTCATTCTAATTAATATCATAGGTTTTTGAATTAGTGTTACAAATAAAACCTGATTGTTGTTCTGGGGATATGGCTCAGTGGTAGAGTGCTTGCCTGGCATGCCTGAGGCCCTGAATTCAATCCCCAGCACAAAAAAGAAAAAAAAATGAGGAAATAGATTATAGAGGAAAAGACTAAACAAAATAAATATTAACACTTCCTTACCAATATCAATGTATTTGGGATCCAAGGGTGTGCCAATAGAATTACAAAGAACTAGCACAAACTGTGAACAAACAAAACAAAAACAAATATCACAACTCTTACTTACAACTAATAAAGAAATATATATCATACTTATCTTTTTCAAGTATCATTAACTGAGAAACAATTGATAAAATTGTTAGGTGCAAAAATAGCAAATAAAAACAAGACAATCTAAGGCATTAACCATTTTAAAAATACAAATTAAAATTAAATGAAGGGTGATTTCTCAATATAACAGAATACCACAGTTTTTAAGAGGACATTTTAGAAATACTGATACACTGGCTCCTTTTCATCATGTATACTTCTAAAATTCCTGACCAGCTATAACATCAAAATTCATTTTTATCTTATTATAACCAGCTATATAAGAACTAACTTAATTTGTTACCGTTGCACCAAATGTCTCCATTTCATTCTCCTCCTTTGAAGCAATATATAAACAACATGAGAAATTCAGAAAAATTCAGTTAATTCAGAAAAGACATAATCCAACCTAGTAAAAATGACTTATATTCAAATAATTATCAATGACTAATATTAGGAAGATAATAAAGCATGCTTTAGATCATACTGTTCTAAAGTGATAATTTCATTTTTCTTTCACCGTATCCTGTACTAACAGTACTATTCTATTTAGATGTTTTCCTAATCAGAATAATAATTTCAAATAAATCAATTTTATACATATTTTTGATACATATCTTTCCTTTTTCAGCATCTCAATTAAAACCTGTTTAATTAATTTCATAAATATAAACCAAATGATAAAAGGTATACTAAAAATACTATAGTTTACCCTTCCACCCTTTAAAAGCTTATTTACTGTCCAAAATACCACAAGTTGTATTTTTAATTTACTTTTCATTTTCATCAATTATATTTTCAAAAAATAATTCTACAGGACTTCTTGATAAAACTGGCACAGCATTCCTTTTCTACTCCCTTTAACTCCTGCTCTTGCTATTTATCTCTACAAATCTAAGTAACATATTTCTAGAGCTATTTCTGGTTTTGTTTTGTTTCAATCCAGTGCATTATCTGTCACCTTCCCACTATGAAAGATAAGAATTTTGCTTTTTTTCATCCCCTTTCCCAAACACCTGCCACCCAGGGGCATACTTCTATCCCTTCATCTTTCCACTTTTAACATAATTTTGTTAGATCAGAATTAGGACTAAATATTATATGTCAGTTTAAAAAATCAGTGATCACATTATTTTGACTGTGTAAATGCTATTCAGCTGAGACATCCATTATACCATGATTTATTTTCCTTTCAAGCATAGTTTGCTTTCCCTGTAGTTTATTATTATCTTTATTTTTTCCTTTGTTTAGCTTTCTAGGCACCCATTACTAACTCAAATCCCTGATTTTCCTTAGTTAAGTCTATCTCCTCTCAAGGGTTCAAACATTCTAGGGAATCTAACAATTGCATATGTTTAAATTTCTTCTGAAACCTTCTGCCCTTCTCTCACTGGCCTCCCTGGGCATGCTGCAGAGCAGTCAATTGGTACCACTCTTCACCAGGGGCCCTGTGCTCCTGTTTCTTCTTCTTTCTTCCTCTTTCTTGGTTTATTCCTCATTTTCATGGACATTATCATCAAGTAACTAACTCCCTAAAATGGGACACCATGGAAGGTAAAATTTTTATGACCTTGCATATCTGAAAAAGTCTGTATTCCACCCTCACACTTAAGTGGTTTTCTTAGGATGTGGAATTTTAGATAGGAAGTCAGTTTCCCTCAAAATTTTAAAGGCGATTCTCCAAAGCATTGCTTTTCATAAGTCAGATGTCATTATGACTCCTTATCCTATGAAATCTGTTTTTCCTCTCTGAAATCTTGTAAGACTCTTTTTTTTTTAAATCCCCAGTGTTCTGAAATTTCACAGTGATGTGTCTTGATGTGGAAACACATTTATTCAATCTAGAACCTCAAGGATTTTTTTTTTTTTTTAGATTCATTCCATGCTATTTTGCTTTTACAGTTTTCTTAGAACTATTGTTCAAATACTAAACTTCCAAGACTAAGTTTTCTAATTTTCTTCTTTTTCACTACTTTCCATTTCTTTGTCTTTTTTGCTGTACTTTGTAGGGTATTTTCATCCAATTTCCTAACCATTCTGCCAAATTTTTCAATGGGATTCTCATATTTGTAACTTCTAAAATTTTCCTTTTCTATACTATTCTTATTTTATAGATGGAAACCTCTTAACTCTCTGAAGATAATAATGATGGTTCTTTGCAGAATATAGAATCTTTGAATTTTTCTTTTTGTCTAGTCTTTACTTCCTCTGAGTTCTTTTCTACTTGTGGTTATACTGGTATCTGTCTGTTAAATTCAATGCTTTCTTCAAATGTCTGAGAATTCTAATCTGTCTGCTGTATTTAAAAGTGGAATGCCAATCAATAAATGGGCAAAAGAATTAAACACAAATTTCTTAAAAGAAAAAACACAAACGGTCAACAAACATATTTAAAAAATGTTCAACCTGTCTAGCAGCCAGGGAAATGCAAATAAAAATTACACTAAGATTTCATCTCACTCCAGTCAGAATGGCAATTATCAAGAATACAAATAACAATAAATATGGCAAGGATGTGAGGGAACAGGTACACTTATACATTGTTGGTGGGAATGCAAATTAGTACAACTACTGTGGAAAGCAGTGTGGAGATTTCTCAAAAAACTAGGAATGGAATCATCACATGACCCAGCTATCCCACTCCTCCGTACTTATCCAAAAAAACTAAATCAGCATACTATCACAATGTAGCCACTGCAATTTTTATAGCAGCATAATTCACAATAGCCAAATTATGAAATCAACCCAGACACCTGTCAATGGATCAAGAAAATGTGGTATATGTACACAATGGTGTTTTACCCAGCCATAAAGAAGAATGAAATAATATTTGCCAGTAAATGGATGGAAATGGAGAAAATCATGCTAAGTGAAATAAGCCAGACTCAGAAAATCAAGGGTTGAAAGTTTTCTCTTATATGTTGGAGCTAAAGCAAAATAAGGGAAAGAAGTCAATGGGGGAAGAGATCAGATATCATAAAATATAGGGAAGATCAGTGGAGTAGGAAAATGAGAGGGAGAGAGGAAGGAAGAAAAACAGAAATACATTAATCAACAAAATCATGTCATATACATATATAAATGTACCAAAGGGAATTCCACCTTTATATATATATATATAGAAAGCACCAATCAAAAATAAATAAAGGAGGGGCTAGGGGTATAGCTCAGTGGTAGAACGCTTGCCTAGCACACGTGGGGTGCTGGGTTTGATTCTCAGCACCACATAAAAACAAACAAATAAAGGTATTGTGTCCATCTAGAATTAAAAATAAATAATAAATAATAAATAAAGGAGCCAGGCACCGTGATGCACGCCTGTAATCCCAGCAGCTCCAGCTCGAGAGGCTGAGTCACACGGATCTCAAGTTCAAAGCCAGCCTCAGCAACAGTGAGGTGCTAAGCAACTCAGTGAGACCCCGTCTCTAAATAAAATACAAAATAGGGCTGAGGATGTGGCTCAGAAGTCAAGTGGCCCTGAGTTCAATCCCTGGTACCAAAATAAATAAATAAATGAGTAAAAGGAAGATCAGTAGAGGAGGGAGAAGGAGGGAGGAGGAATGGGGATTGAAATCAAATTCCTTGTATATATAATTTTATCCAAAGGAACCCAAATACTATGTATAATTATAATGCTCTAACAAAATAAAAAAAAAAAAAAGTGGGATACTAAAAGGCTACTTGGAATCTATTTGTCCACAAATAAGCCTTACTGAGCATGGCTTTTACTGTGAAGTGATCAAGCAGGGTTGTTTTCTTGGAGATTCCCAATCTTAGTCTTTTCTCATGAGCTGATAAGATTCTTCAGAGAAGATTCTTTCAATCTGCTACCTCAAAGCCTGATGCCCTGCTGCCAGTGCTCTGGGAACCAAGTAGGGATAGAAGACCAGGGGTACTGACAAGTCCTGAACTTCTCATTTAATTGGTTTTCATCTGAGTTCTTCCACCCTTAGCTATGCGTGGTGCCCTTCAGTGCATAGATCCCCTTTGATCCTTCCTGGAGATTTAAGCCCAGTCTTAATAGATGTTAAGCAAGCAGCTGCCCGTGTTCTCTTTCTATGGGGATCTGAGAACTTTCTTTGTTATATCTTTTTTTATATGTTAGTTTCTTTCTCAGGCACTCCAAGTCCTATTCCTCTTCAACATTCTGTAACTAGATGCTTCTTTGCTTTTTCCATGAAAAGTTTATGGTTCAGCTTTTTCAGGCCTGCTAAGGTAATTATCACTAATCCACCTATTCTCTAACCTCCAAAATTTGTTGCCATTTCCTCTCCATTTCTGGTCCCTATGGGCTTGTGACTTTAAAAAAAACAACAACAAAAAAACTTTACTGTTGTTCAGCAAGTTTCAGAAGAGAACAAAGCCAAATAAGGCTGTTCAAATGGTTACCTTTAACCAAAAATGTAATAAGGAAATAAATTATAGCCTAGATAAAGACATTGGTAGTCCTATTTTGGAATATTTACATTTTTCTACAAATACTTAAATTGTTAGTACACTTTTTAACAAGATATTATATGTACTATTTATTTTGTGCTCTGAGATGACTTTTAAACTAATATAATTTCAAATAAAAGATTTCTCAATGTCAAAAGCTTCCCAAACTGTTACAAATAGTCATTATTTTATCCGTTCTTTAGTATTTATTGCAGATATCTGGATATTCATTGTTTGCTTGTGAAATTTTAACTTGGAAAAGGATTATGGTGTTTTAAATATATTTCAGAGAAAAAAGCTTCAGTACTGAACCAGTCAATATGAACTGCCAATGATTAGCTGAATGGAGGGGAAAAAAATCAGACAATACAGAAGCATTGGAGTCATATAGTTTTCCAGAACAGGTCTAGACTAACATGGCCAACAGACCCCATGTTTCTGTACTTGCCAGTATCCAGGCCACGCTTGAGAATGTGGATAACTCTGGCCCAATTATGCCAACCAGTCTGTTCACCAGTCTGTGCTTTAAGATACCAAGGAATTCCTACCTGAGGATGACTTTCATCAGCTTTTGTAGCCAAAATGCAGAAATCGCCACAAGTGGTAATGGAAATGATACTCTTCACATATTTAACATATTTCTCATTGTTTTTAGTGTCCCAAAAGACAACACAGTACTCAGGACGATCTGGTCTGGTATATGCATACACCACAGTATTTGAACAATAGCCCCACTAGGAAGAAAGGAAGCAGAAAAGGGAAGGAATGGGAGGAGGAAAGAGGGAAAGGAAGAGAGAGGAAGGAAAGAATATTTAGTTTTGGGAGAAAAAATGCAATTTATTTTATTTTTACTCTAGGAATAATGCAGATAAGTACTTTATCGGTACTGACAAAATACATTCTTCAGAAATGGTAGAATTCCTGAATTCTGAATCTTCAGCTTCATACCTACCTTTTTTGCACTAAAATAACCAAAAAGGTAATAATAATACATTTTAAAAACAAAAAAAAATGTGATGCCAAAATAAATTCAGTGTGATTAACCCTCCTTATTTTTAATTTTTAAGACTTAAGCTTCAGTGGTACCATAGCTAGTGTGAACCATCAATAGTGTTATCCCTGTCAAAATCTTAGATTCTGAGTCCTCAAGTCAATATTTAAAAATAGGTGTTTTGCCTTTCCCCATCCACATATTTTATGAAATTTGTTCTTATATTAAATCTTTCTGCGTGATTTATTTAAAACAATAACAAAATGCAGATCCCTCCCCAACTTCCTCTCATGAAGAGCCTATAACATCTTTAGCTGTAACTATTCTAGTATTTATCACCACACTGCACAGCTATTGATTATGAAACTTAGGCACTTACAGCTTTCCCTTCTAACTCTTATAGTATACTTACATGTAATTTTGAATAAATTAATTCTCATTGTCCACATTACTTTTACTATTAGTAGCTAATAATTGTGTTTACTTTTAATGCCTGATTATTTTCTACAATAAACGTTGACTTTAAAATAGTTTTAGATTTGCAATAAAGTTGCAAAGATAATACAAAGTTCCCATATACCCCTCATCCATTTCCCTATTAACAATTTACATTGCCATAGCACATTTGTCACAATGAAGAAACCAATATTACTATTACAACTAACTAAACTTCACACTTTGAGTTTCTAGCTTTTCCCTAATGTCCTTTTTCTATCCCAGAATCCCATTTTAGACACATTATATTTAGATAACATGTCTCCATGGACTCCTTTGGGCTGTGACAGTTTCTCAGTCTTTCTCTATTTTCAATAACCTTGGCAATATAGAGGAGTACTGCTCTGGTATTTTGTAAAGTGCCCCTCAATCATGGGGTTGTTGGTTTTTAGGAAGATCAACAGACACATGACACGATCTCAACACATCCTATTAGGAGGTACGTGGTATCCACATGACATCACTGTTGATGTGGTGTTCCTGGGGATTTCCCACTGTTAAGCTACTTTCTCTTTCCTCTCTCCATCCTCCATTCTTTGGAAGTGAGTCACCAAGTGCGGCCCATACTCAAGCCAAGTAACTGGAACTATGCTCTACCTTCTGGAGGGGGAGTACATAAGTGAGATGGTATACTTCTGTAAGGAAGATCTGTTTCTTCTCTCCCATTTGTTTTTCATTAAAGTAAGTTAATTTTATCAGTATTGGCTCACGGACATTAACTTCATAATTTGGGTTATAATGAACTTGCAACATTTGTTTTATTCCTCAAATTGCTACACCTTAAGCCAAAGAGAGCTCTTCCTAGTTGTCTGCCATGTGCCTTTGACGTGGCCACATTTTTTTTATGGTAGGGTTCTTTATTACTATCTGGCATTGTTAAGATGCTCCAGACTTATGTTATATTTTCCTTGCTCTAGTCCTAGAATCAGTCATTTCTCTGAGGGGCTTTGCCCTTTAAATGAAATATATAAGATTCTTCATAACAGATAATTTATCAGATCATATTTCAAACTTGTTTTGGATCAAATATTAAGTTTAAGATAAAATAGTGATTAAATATCAAGTTGCTCTCTCATTTTTCCCCCTCCTAATCTATTCTCTGCCCTTCTCTATTCTGCTGAGCCCTGGAAACTGATTTCTATGAACTCCATCACCTGGGCTACCTTGCCAACTGGTGCCTAGTTGGATTTGACCAGTAAAAGGCACATGAAGTAGAAAGATGGAGTATCTACTCCCCTATCTGTCTCTGCCTGGCCAGTTGGTGGTAGCCAAGCCCCTGCTGGGCAGCTTCTCTTACATAGCCAAAGCTCTCATGGAATGTTACTCCCTTGCCCCTTCCAATTGGGGGCACTGGTGATGGCATCTATTTGCTAATCACTGGGTGCCTGCTTTATCTCCCTTGCTGTCCCTTAATGCTACCCGAACATCTGTAACAAGCCCTTCAATTACTCTGGTGGGTGGGCCATCTGTTTCACACTGAGACCCTGACTCATAGGGTCATTTTACTAATTATACACAGTATACTAGAAAAGCTAGTTTTAAAGTCCTCGTGGACAACAAAAGCCTCCTTTCTGTTAGTTTCTAAAACAAACCCACTATGAATATAATGAGTTATAACAAATTATTTAGTTAAAAACACTTTATTTTACAAATGTTCTTAATACCTTATAATCGGGCCGAATGTTCGCAAAATATATAAAGGAATCAACAGTTAGTGCAATTTTCAGTCCATCTCCTTCCCAAGATAGTGCAGACATCTGCTTTCCAGGAACTTTCAAAGTGCCCAAATGCTGGGGGGGAAAAAAGTATTCAATCTAAAGTATCACAATGAACAAATTACCATTGAACATTTCATGGAGATCAAAAGTGGTATGAAGACTCTCTTGTGAAAGTTTATCACTAATTTTAAGATCATTTTCCTTGCATTTTAATTACAAGAAAACATGCGTATGATTGGAGATATTTATAGGCTATATCCAAAGAATATTAGGAAATGTCATCAAATCTACCATGCCATAGATTAAAATATACATCTTTACTTTTATGTACAACTAAGAAAAAACATGCTAATTAAAATATGATCACTTTGATTACATGATGTGTGCCAATTTTTTCTTTGTGTTCTCAGGATTGAACCCAGAGGCATTTGTTTACTGCTGAGCTACACCCCCAATCCTTTTAATTTTTTATTTTGAGACAAAGTCTTGAACTAAGTCATGAAAACTGCTCTTGAATTTGATATCCTCCTGCCTCAGGCTCCTGAGTTACCGGGTTTACAAGCACGTGTCACCACACCTGGCCAATGCATCCAAATTTTAGACTTGTAAAAAGCTATACTTTTTAGAGTCCATGAAAGTTTATATTAGTAACTTCAATACTGAAGTCCTACCTTTCTCTTTCCTCCCCAACAAACAACCAATCACCAAGACCCATTGCCTTTGCTCCTTTCAATGGTCACAAAGAAAAAATTGTGGAGAAAACTATGGGAATAGCCTCCCTTTCATCTCTTTCCTTATTAATCTACCCTCTTTCCCCCAGATTCCCTCTCTACTCTGCTATTATAATTATCTTTCTGGAACAAAACTCTAATCATAACCTTCCCTGCTTTAAAAACATAATAATACTTTTTAAAAATCAACAGCTCCCCATTGGTCGTACATTCTTGAGCATGGAATACAATACCTTTTTCCCATCTGACCCAAAACTACCTTCCTTGCTGAATGCCCTACCATACAGCCATAGTTATGTGTGCCGACGTGTGAGAGAATACTCTGCCACCATACCTTAGGCCTGTATTGCAGCTCTTCTGCCTGAAATCCTCCTCTTCTTTCCCCATGCCTCCTTATCCTTACTATTCCTTGTCCTCCTGGAGAATCCCTCTTCATCCTTCAAATATAACTCAAATAGTGCTTCCTCAATGAGCCTTGCCTTCTCTCCATGGTTCCAGGGAATGCAACAGTAAGTTCCTCAAGAGCACTCACTTCATGGTCAAATTAGTTTGTTCATATACTAACATTTGATAAGTGACTCAATAAGCAAGTCAATGAACACAGCCCTTTTAATCTATGGTTCTCATTTGACAGGCCAGTATAAATCCCAAAATTTGAATTAATTGCACTGGCATCCCGTATTCTGAAGCAGATGTATCTAAAGTCAAATTTCATGTTGCTTATGGTCTGAATGTTTGTCCCTTCCAAAATTTATGTTGAAATTTGACCTGGAAACAGTACTAAATGGGGAGGCTTTTAAGAGCTGACTAGGAATAATGCCACTGGAAAAGGGTAATTCGGCCCCTATTTTCTGTTTCTTGCCCTTCATCTTCCTGTCCCACCCTCCTCCATGTGATAACACAATAAGAAGGCCCTCACCAGATGCTGCAGCCTTGATATGGGACTTCTCAGCCTCTAAATCTGTGAGCAAATAAACTTCTGTTCACTATAAAATGTCATAACAGTCTAAGACAAATGTACTGAACCCCATTTTGCCAAGGAAACCAATGGAAACAAAAAACTCAAGTTTTAACCTAGAAGGGTCCATCTTGCTGCCTACATGAATCCAAAAGGGAACTGAAAGTTTTTATGATCATACACTTGATATTGACCCATCACAGAGAGAGAATAAAGCCATCTCCTAACTGTGCAAACCAATCAGGTGTTAGCTGCAGCAAGGGCAGAAACCAGACTTAGTAAGCACTGGTTATGTGCCAAGCACTGGCTATGTGCCAAGCCCCGGCTAGGTACTTCCTCATTATTATCTTCTTTAATCTTTATGATAGTACCAGGAGGCATTACCCTTCATTCACAAAACAAGTAAACTGGACTTCGGTGATTAACTAACTTAAGACAAACTACACTGTGGAAATGGGATTCAAAGCCAGTTCAACCTGACCTCAACCACATTATCCCCTGAGACTACAGTGCACAGCTAAGACCACAGTGCAAAACTCAGTGAGCCCTAACCTTCAGACTTGAAGCAGACTCTTCTCTGAGGTTTCTTTAAGTTTGAACCTTAGAGATCCTCTTTCCAAGTATCTTCCCAATTTTAACAATAAAATAGATCCAAAGATAAATCCCCCATATGTTCACTCATCCCAAAAATATCAAGTTACTAATATGCCCTGAAGAGCTACAACTGATACTTTTAAGTACAGCTGAACCAAAACCTTCTTATAGTTTTCAGGATATGCTTAACATACTGTTTTGCAAGATAAAATATATAGACCTTAGGACCCATGTTTTTCTACCTGGAAAAGGCTGAAGTAAAGGGGGAAAAAAACAGATAAAATAACATAATGTTAAATCAATGGGGACCCACAAAAATAATCAACAAATATGAGTGAAGATTATAAGAATATAAATTATTAGAATTCAGATTTTTATTTAGGTACCTTAAAAACTCTGATTTTGTTTTTGTTCTTTGTTTTAGTTTTTACATCTACCAGAAATACTGTTAGCCAACAACACACAGAGAGTGCCTCCTCTCTGCAATACATTCACTGGGTAACTCTGAGGTACTGATTGAAAAGCACCAGATAATACCATTTATTACCCTTACAGAAAAGTTCAAAATACATAAAAGTATTAATATTAAAATACAAAAACAATTAGTAAGAACTTTTTTACTGCCAAAAATTCTCATTATTGCAATCTATGGTGAATTTACAAAAATTAACAAGGTATCCAAAAGGACAAAAATAGAGTATAAGGTTACCAAATAAGACAGGCAAATATATATTAAGCTCTCATTTTCTAAATTCACAATACATTAATTATCTTTTTTTAAAATATTTATTTTTTTTAGTTAGAGGTGGACATAAAAATATCTTTATTTTTATGTGGTGCTGAGGATCAAACCCAGCGCCTCACGCATGCTAGGCAAGCACTCTATCTCTGACCAACAACCCCAGCCCAATACATAAATTATCTTACCTGAATGTTCAATGCTACTTCAGAAAATTATCTTTAGAATTTAATTCATTTATAATATCATTGAGAGTAATAATATATGCTTATATTTTAATGTAGCATCATTTAAGAGTGATTGTTCTTGGGGCTGGGGCTGGGGCTCAGTGGTTGAGCGCTCGCCTAGCATATGCAAGGCATTGGGTTCAATTCTCAGCACTACATATAATAAATAAATAAAGGTATTATGTCTGATTACAACTAAAAATATATATATGTTTTTAAAAAAAGATTGACTATTCTTGTATAATCTGGAGATTAATGCTCTGTCTGAGGTATGAGTGATAAAGATTTTCTCCCATTCTGTAGAAATGCTATTCACATTCTTGATTGTTTCCTTTGCTGTGAAGAAGCTTTTCAGTTTGATACTATCCCATTTATAGATTTCTGATTTTATTTCTTGTGCTTTAGGAGTCTTATTGAGGAAATTGTTCCTAAGCCAACATGATGGAGAGTTGGGCCTACTTTTTATTCTATTAAGCACAGAATCTCTGATCTAATGCCTAGGTCCTTGATCCCACTTTGAATTGAGTTTTGTGCAGGGTGAGAGATAGGCATTCAGTTTCAATCTATTACACATGGATTTCCAGTTTTCCCAGCACCAGCTATCTTTTCTCCAATGTATGTGTACAGCACCTTTGTCTAGGATGAGATAAATGTTATCTATATGGATGTGTACCACCTATACCTCAGATAGAGCACTAAAATCCATTTATACAAAGAACTCAAAAAACTTAACACCAGAAAAACAAATAACCCAGTCAATAAATGGGCAAAGAAACTGAACAAGCACTTCACAAAAGAAGAAACACAAACGGTCAAAAAATATATGAAAAAATGTTCAATACCACTAGCAATTAAAGAAATGTAAATTAAAACTACACTGGGATTCCATCTTACTCCAGTCAGAATGGCAATTATAAAAAATACAAGTACCAAAAAATGTTAGCAAAAATGTGGGTAAAGGGGCTGGGGTTGTGGCTCAGCAGTAGAGCGCTCACCTAGCACATGCAAGACTCTGGGTATAATCCTCAGCACCACAATAAAAATAAATAAAATAAAGGTATTGTGTCCAACTACAACTAAAAAAGTATTAAAAAAAAAAAAAGAATGTGGGTAAAAAAGTACACTCATACATTGCTGGTAGGATTGCAATTTGGTGCAACCACTATGGAAAGCAGTATGGAGATTCCTCAGAAAACCCGGAATGGAATCATCATTTGACCCAGTTTTCCCACTCCTCAGTCTATACCCAAAGGACTTAAAATCAGCATACTACATGACACAGCCACATCAATGTTTATAGCAGCTCAATTCATAATAGCTAAGCTATGGAACCAACCTAGGTGCCCTTCAACAGATGAATGGAAAAAGAAATTGTGGTACATATACACAATTAAATATTACTCATCCATAAAGAAGAATGGAATGATAGCATTTGCTGGTAAATGGATGGTACTGGAAAATATCATGCTAAGTGAAACAAGGCAATCCCAAAAAACCAAAGGCCAAATGGTCTCTCTGATATGTGGATACTAACCCAAAACAAGGGAGAGTGGGGAGGGAAAGAATAGAAATCCATTGGATTAGACAAAGGGAAATGAAGGAAAGGGAGTGGGGATGGGAAATAGGAAAGACAGTAGAATTAACTGGACATAACTTTCCTAGCCTGCACTTGAATACATGACCAGGGTAACTCCCATCAGGTATAACCACAAGAATAGGATCCTAAATAGAATAAGTAATACTTCATGTATGTATAATATGCCAAAATACAGTCTACTGTCATGAATAGCTAAAAAGAACTTAAAAAAATATATTGACTGTTAAGACAGGTTTTATTAAAACAATTAATCACTGTAACAAATTAAAATTATTAGAAATTTGCCAGAAGGGCAGGCAGATATGTATGTTTAATACCTAATCATATTTAAAGTATTACATTAAAAAGGAAAAAAATGAACCTCAAACAGGTATATTACTACTCAAAAACCAGCTGTGAAAAGAGCTATTCAGACTGTAGAGAAAATATTCTAAATAACTACTGCACAGTGATTTATATCAAACTTAGGGCTTTCTACATGTACAGATTATAAAATAAATTCCATGATAAAATAAAATGAAAACATGTAAAGTGAAGATATTAGTCAGACATATACTTGATATATCAAGATTATTACTCAAAATGTCCTTAAAAGAAAATGTGACAAGTATGTACCTTTCCTCCATTCTTTTTTCCCTGCTTGCTACTATACCATTAAATGAAAAGAAGATAAACCAATACATTTACCTCACCAAATGGAGTGTAAAACTGCACCGTGTTAACATCTTTATCCTGAGTGACTGCTTTCTGAGAGCCTGCCACGGCTAACACACTGCCAGTTTGGTTCCACTGGACACTGACCACATACATGCCAGTATCAATCAAAACTGGATCTAGTCAAAAAGGGAAGGAAAATTAAGTAACTGTGTTAGCATCTTAGTTGAAAGGACTTGATATTAAGAACAATTTTCAAGTATGTTTTAAATTCTCCAATTTAAAAAAAATAAATAAAAATAGAAATTTTACTTACTTTGGTCATTCTCGTGTTTCATTATTTGGCATCTCCCATTGTCAAAACAAATAGCAAGGCAAGGGCAATCGGGCTCCACATAGCCCTCTGTGCCATAGTACCAATGAATTCCCGCAATGCTGATTGCTCCAGTGACGTTTACCAAACATTTCAGCTTCATTTTCATCTAGATAGAATTGGCTAGATTTAATATTTACATTTTGAAACAGAGCAGTATGAATGACACCATAAATAGGATTTAAAAATCTGGATGTGAATGCAAGCTTAATCGCTTACTGGTTTATCAACCCTGAACAAATCACTTATCTAACTCTATTTTCCCTGTGTGTAAAATGAAAGTTAAAAAAAAAGGGGGAGCCAGGCATGGTGGTGCATGCCTGTAATCCCAGTGACTGGGGAGGCTGAGGCAGGAGGATCATTAGTTCAAAGCCAGCCTCAGCAATGGCAAGGCACTAAGCAACTCAGTGAGACCCTGTCTTTAAATAAAATACAAAAAAAGGGCTGGGGATGTGGCCCAATGGTAGAGTGCCCCTGAGTTCAATCCCTGGTACCAAAAAAAATTTTTTTTTTTTTAAAGGAGGATGTGGGAGACTCAGATGACAAAAAGTATATGAAAGTACTTGGAAAATAGCAAAGTGTCATACAAACGATACCAATTTTATTTTCAGCTATCAGTGGATTCATGAACTATCCCAATCCTCACTCAAAACAAAACTGCCCCATCAGTAATCAGAGACCTACCACAGCTAAATCTTGCAAAACCAAAACTTTTCTCCAGATTATGCTACCTAAGCCTCCTTTTTTTTACCCTTTTTCTAAAAATTGATTTTTCTCCCCTATGGTTTAAGTTTTCCATTCTTTTTACAAACAACCATTAGTTACTACAAAAATAACTTTGGTATCTACATGTAAACTTTGGCTTCAGGAAGCAGAAGACATTCTCAAAACTTAAATTATACATTATTCTACTGTATCTCTCTACTTCAATTTACTAGCACCTTGTCCCATCCAACTACCAAAAAATCAAACTTAAAAGCTACACTCTAATATGTTACATCAATTTGCCTTAAAGAAGCCAAGATTTGGTTTTAATTTTTTTTAAAGTTGGAAGATTATTAAAAAATTTAAAAGTCAAACTAACGACTAATTAGAGGGGCTTAGTGGCACACGCCTGTAATCCCAGTGACTCTGGACACTGAGGTAGGAGGATCTCGAGTTTGAAGACAACCTCAGCAATGCAACAAGGCCCTCAGCAACTTGGTAAGATTCTGTCTCAAAATAAAAAATAAAAAGGTCTGGGGATGTGACTCAGTAGTTAAAGCACCCCTGGGTTCAATTCCCAGCATCAATAAATAAATAAATAAATAAAGACTAACTACATAAGCCATCATAATAAATAAATGTGAGTTCGTATGAATGATATATTAAAAATCATATAAAATTATATACATAAAAACAACAAATATATATGCTTACTATAAAATTTCCTTGATTATCATAAATGTGTATTTCACCATTTGCCATTCCAAAAAGTAAGATTTTACTATCTGATGACCATGCTACATGGCACAACTGTACACCCTTCAGGTCTTTTCCCCAAATACGATTGCCTAAAACAAAACATAAACATAATTATTTAAAGTTCAGATTCATGATCCTCCAACAGCTGCTTTCAACATTTTTGTTTCCCTAAAGAGTTCTCACATTCCTCTCAGCATTCATGCAGTCATTCAATTTATTTGGTCAATAAATATTTACTGAGCACTTATAGGAGCAAAATACCCCAGAGACATTTAAAATAGCAGCTGTTTCAAACTCTCCCATTTCTAAACTGATGCAGGTTTTCACTCCCAATTAACAGATGAGCCCATCTTCTACTTTGGAAAAGAAATAAAAGCTCCCGAAAAAGAAATTCAGGACATTTAGAACATAACTAAATCCACACTTATCCACTCTGCTTAGCTCCCTGATACAAAGGAAGAGGTATCTCCCAACCAGACCTCTGTCTAAGGTTAATCCTTCCACCTAATCTATGATCTAATCCATTCCATCTTTGCAAAAATCTCCCTTGGTAAATTATTCTCATTTTCTTTTTCTCACTAAACTTATCTTTCTAGGCTCTTTCTAATAAACACTTAAATATATGCATATCTTCTAAATCATCACCTCAAACAAAATAAAACAAAAAAAAACCACTTTCCTCAACTCTAAGCTCTCCATCTCGCTACCATTCTATTTTTACCATTCCCTCCCAACCAAACTTCAATAAGTTATTGAGGCTGACCTCAAACTTGCAATCCTCCTGCCTCAGCGGCCTGAGTTGCTGGAACTATGGGAAAAAGCCACTGTACCCAGCTTACATTCTTAGTTTCTAAAACCATAGCTATTGCTCTATAAAATTCTCAGAAATATTCACTGACTACAATATATATATATACACACATATACACACACAGATGTGAAAATGACTTTAAAATGTTATTTCTCTATCAACAATTTCATTCACATTAATACAAAGGTGCTGACTTACAGAAGACCCAGTTTCATCTACATACTAGAATCTGAAAGACATAGGTTTTAAGGTTATAAAATACAACTAACAATGATATACTATCTTCTACTGAAAATACCATATATTATTATGATTTTATATACTTTTTGAAAATAAAATCTATGCATTTATATAGTCTAACCAATATAAAGATGAATTATATGATGGACATATTTAAAATAATGCTGAAAAATTAATTCATTTTTTTCAGTGCCACTGTAGGAAATCAAAAAAGAATAGATTGTTTTCTCATGTAGACTTAATAAATGTTTAGGACCAAAAGGTGCTTCTTAGATTTCAGCAAAATGTATATCGACTATTTTCTTTTTTTATGTCTATTTTTCAATCAGAATGTTAACAACTTAAATCTCTAAAGATAAAAAAGTAAGCTAAATGTTGATCTTAGTCCTATATCCAATAAATGCAATTACCATCCACTGAACCCACTATCACAGCCCCATCTTCATACACAATGCAGATCTTCTGTCCATCAGCATTCCAACTCATACTTCGAACCACTGATTTATTCCGATTGTTGATCATTTCCTCATACCAAGAGCCTGATTTCACAAATTAAAAAATTACAAGTCAAAACTTTCACATCTATTAAATGGTACTTAAGAGTTGACAACACTTCATAAAATACACTGTGCAATAAATAATTGCAAAGTTTTGTACAACCTGAGATATTAAACTAGAAAACCTTCAAATCAACATAAACAAAAGAAAAAATTAACATAGGCCTTGACTAATAATCTTTTCAAAGACTATCACAGAAAACACAACAAATGCCCAGCTCTTTTCTTTTTACTTTCTCTCTTTTTCTTGCTTTCTTCTTGTCAATTAAAAAAGAAAATTTCATTTGCTTTTGCAGGGCCAAAACAAGTTATTTTTCTGAAGACCTAACTTTTCCCACTTGAAAACCTTATCTTTTCAGATAATAACTAAGCAGGGGGGAAAACAGAATAACAACAACCTTATATGTATGCATAAACTCTCTGATGACTAGTTTAAGCATATGAGGTAAAAGCACATTAAGTAAAACTCTTAAAGTCTGCTTTAAAAAAATTCTTAAGCAATTCATGTTACATCAGTGATACATTACATATGCCATCACTAATGCTGAAGAACAAAAACATTTGAGCTACACAGAGTTGGAGAGAGATGTGACTTCTTTCATAGTATAACCCAATTAGAAGCAAAAGAACAGGGAATTTTGTCTTATTTTTGTGTTTTTTAAAAACTTTACCATTTTCTGGCCTAGGGAACTCTGGCCATCAGCCAAGCAAATGTCATGTGATTTGAAATAACTGGTCAGCGCAGGGTATTAATAGAATTAGGATTGAAGCCCAGAGAAAATTTATCTTGGAAACAAAGTTCACTCCCATCTACTTTACTTTCTACCCCACTCCACTTTTCAAATACACATACTTTAAAAATAATATTCAAGCACTATCACATATTTTTTAATTATAGGTTTGTAAACAACATACCCTGAACCTTTTGAAAACAACACACATGTACCTTTCCCTTTAGAAGACAATGGCTACAGGCTTCAAGAGAACATGTATCATGAGTTGCTTTTCTAGTAATAATGATGCATCTAAACTAATCCTTCTCTTTCCCTCTCTATCTTACTCTGTCTCTTATAGATAAGAGGCAAAAATTGTAGGTCAGTAGCCAGAGCCAAGATAAAATCTGTATCCATGAAAGAAAAGGAAGCTGACTGGTCCAATATAGGAAGTGAATTACTAATGCTGCTGAATTCTTCATAAATGTGCTTTCTTCTAGTGTACTAACTTCAACCACCAGCCACATAGGACCTAATTCTTGTTGGAAATCTGCAGGGGTTAGAGGAAGGAGAAGAAGAGCTATCTAAGAGTAGAAACTATTTTACCAAGTTAAGAAGTTCACTTTGGAGTCACTTAATTTGCTTTCTTAATGCAAAGTTACAGCTCAAAGGAAATAAAATAAAAAGTAAGCTACAATAAATCCAGAAATATCATCACTATGCAGTCAGCTCTTCTGGTTACCAGGGGTCTATTTTAGAGATGTAATTTCTCCATCCAAACACTGTGATCCAGACTCCAATTTGTGAAAGATTAAAGCAGCTCTCCTAATGTACCTTTATATAACATCCAGACAATGATAAGCCCATTTTGATCACTGGTGGTCAATTTCTGATACTGTTCATTCCATGTTACAACTTGAACAGAACCTAGAACATTGGAAAATAAATTAGACACTTAAAAATGGCTAAAATTAATTTCAAATTTGTACCTTTATATAAGCAAACATCAAGAACATGTTAAAATCAAGACTTCCTATGCAACTAACCAGTTTTTCAAATATTATGAATATCAAAAATATTCATAGGATATAATTACTGAGATCACTAATTTCCTACTACAATGCTTAATACTCTCACATCCATCCCTATTTCATGTCTGCAAAGGCACACTTCATGGAAAGCTGCCAGTAAATCAGATAGTGGAAACAAAAATAAGCATGATTTACCAAACTGGCTTGCCTCCCAAGGATAATGATGTCCAAAGGACACCAAGTTGTTCCCTTAAATTGTTTGTTCATTTTTGGTTGAAAATGCCCATTATCTGTTTCCCCCTTTCTAACCTCCCAGGTTTTACATTCTATTTGTAACACACTTTAAGTATATATTAAACCGGTGGGTGACATTAGTAATTGATTTCTTTTAATTCTTATATCTCTAAATACTTTGTATGTATTTTTAAGGATACTCTCTTTCATAACTATCTTACAAATTTAAAAATCTAACCTGATAAAATATCATTACCTAACACACTGTCCACTTTCAAATTTCAATTGTCAAGGTGTCCATTTTTATGTTTATATTTATTTATTTATTTATTTATTTATTGCCTTATTGGGGATTAAACCCCGGCCCTCATACGTGCTCGGTAAGCTTTCTTTCACTGAGTTATATTCCTAATTCATTTTATTTTACTTTGAGCCAGGGTCTTGCCAATCTTCCCAGGCTATCCTTGAACTTGGGATTCTCCTGCCTTAGCTTTCCCAGTAGCTGGAACCACAGCATGCACCACTGTACCCAGTTGTAATATTCTTTATAGATACTTGTTTTTTTCTCATTCCAGGATCCCATTTAGGATCATATTGTGCATTCAGTTGTTACATCTTTAGTATCCTTTAATCTGTAATTATCAAACAATCTTTAAAAGGAAAATAATATTTATGTATTATATATACATATAGACGTATATATGTATGTCATCCACAGAGAAATAACAGTATTTTTCACATATAACACCTACTTTTTTCAGGTTTATGGAAGAATGAATGACTCTGGACAATATTAATTATGACTCCATAAAAATAATATCACAATTATTTAAAATGTTGACATTTCTACATTAAGTAAATGGTTTCTAAATGACTAACTACAATTTACACATAATAAACAAAACTGCTGGACTCACCACTATGACCTTCAAGAGTCTGATTCATAGAAAGATTACTAGGGGCAGCAAGACCCCTCAATTTTGCATCATCTAAAAAAAACAAAATAAAGAAAACTACCATGAACAATGAAAAAAGGAGAAACAACAATGGGAATTTTGATGAAGGGTATGTTAAAGAGAGGCAGGACTAGACTTCCAGCTTGACCAAACGAGTGAAATTAACATACAAGTTGAAACAGAACTGAAAAAAGATTTAAGAGATCAACAGTTCCATTTTGGACATAGTAAATACGAAATGCCTATGAAAGATTCCAGTGGAGATGCCCAAATCTGAAAATTCAGGACTGTTCTGGAGATATAAATGAGGGATCATCACCCTACAGATAGCATTTAAGGTCATGGGAATAAAATAACAAACCTAGAGAGCAAATATAGAGAGAGCCCACACACAAGTTCTCAGGAATTCCAATTGTTAGAAAAGAAGAATCTAGCAAAGTGACCAAGGACTGTTCAGTCATCAGACAGGAAGGCAGAGTGGGAATATATTTAAATATGTTTAAATATGACAAAATTCAAAATGTTTGACTTCTTCTGTATTGAAAAATGTTTCAAAAAAAAATTAAAGAAATGGTCAAACACATAGTGAGAAAGAACAACATAGACCTTGTCTCAGAAAAACAGAAACTAACACTTTCAATGTTGAACAAAATACATTCATTTCTTAATGTAACTAAAACTTTTACATATTTTAGACAAAATAAGCTGTATATATATATATATATATATATATATATATATATATATATATATACATCCATACACATTTAAAAAACATACCAGAGATATTTTTCTTTTAACACAGTTAAAAGATTAAACTACAAAACATCAGAAGCCAAACTTTGATACTTAAATATCTATCTTCCAATCTGCCTTTTATTTCACATAATTAGTGTAGCACATCAAAACAATTATACTATTCTTTGCTTAGGATGCTCATGAGCCCTTCGTGTAGTGTTACTTATAGGCTGTGTGACCTTGGGTAAGTTATTAAATGATCATAGCCCCAGTTTTCTCACCTGGAATACCCACCTTTCAAGAGTATTGTAAAGCCAAATGAGACAGCACAGGTTAACCATCCAATACACGGGAAATATTTAATAAACACTGTTCAAAGGGTAGTCGGAGCATTAGCAATACCAGCATCACTACAGATGCAAATTCTCAGGCCCTGTCCCAGATCTACTCTGGGGACGGATCCCAGAAATCCATTTTAACAACCTCTTCTGGTGATTCTTACGCCTGACAAATTTTGAGAGGTCATGCTATAAAGGAACCCAAAATGTAATATAGTTTACCTCATTTGACAAAATAATGAACCAAAGTCCAAAGATATTAAGCAACTTGCTGAAAGTCATTCAGTAATCTTGTGGCAGAACTGATTCCAATGTCAATCTCTTTATCTAGATCTCCAACCTAGATAGGGATTACCTAGATCCCTAATATAGAGTAATAGTACGGAAGTTAAATAAGAATAAAATTGTTCACTGTGATTCCAGAGAACTATAAAAAGAAAGAAAGAAAGCTACAAAGATAAGAGATCTATTAATAAAAGGGTAACATATATTCTATTTTCTGTTTGGGGGCACTAGTTGTATAATCACAATACATCTGATAAGGAAAAAAAGATGATATGGACCTGTAAAAAAATTGCCAAAATGTGAGATTTTGTGATGTTACTGAAATGTTGATTGGCATGATTTTTATTAGACTCCTAATAACAGAGGGCAATAATTGGACCTGGCACAAGACAACATGGTGACTTGGTTTCATCTTTCATTCATTTTCATTTCCCATCAATAATTTCAGCAAAAGCTGAATGTTCACATTTGACATTCTCTGAACTTTTCTCTAGAAAAATGTCACAAGATGTTTAGGGTTTTTTGTTTTTAAAAGAATTAGAATTTCATATTGACAAATACCAAGAGCATATGGCGCTGAATCAATGACACTTTTCCTTTTTCTATAATTTCAGACATGTGAGCTTGCATTCATTTACCTGTCTGTGTCTCTAATTTCAAAACTTTCAGTAATCCATCTTCACCACCACACGCTATGAACCCTTGGTCCTTGTTCCAGGATATGCATTTTAGCTTCACATTATTGGGAATGGAAATCTGTAAAAGCAATCACAGTCATGTTAGCAACTTTTCACGAAGTAGTTGGGAAGTACGTCTACAGGAGATGAAAAATGATGAAAGTCTTTCAAGAAGAAACACGAAAGCCTTGCAGGAAAAAAAAAAAAAATGCGCTGTCATGAAAATGGGGATGTTCCTCTGAAATGTCCCGTGCTCCACAATTTGATAAAGAAGGAAAGAAGTGCACACAAGACAAAGGCGGAGGCTGCGGGGGAAAGCCAGGAGGTAAGTCACCTGAGGTATTTTTAAAGGGTAGATGAGGGCTGGAGGGTTATTGACCCATTCCACCGGTCTGTATTCCCTTTCCCCCTAGAACACTTAGGCTACCTTTTGTTAATTTTTTTCTCTTGCGCGGTGATGATCCAAAGTCATCTGGATCCTGACTGGTGATAGATCACCTAGTGATCTATCCCGCTGGCTACCCAAAAGGACCCGGTGGGGGACAGGTATGGCAGAGACGCGTGAGAGAGTTTCTGGCTTGGCTAAGGGGGACCAGGGGTTCCGGGACCTCAGAAGGTCCGGGGCCCGACCAGGCGGGCAGCGGGGCAGCGGGGCAGCGGGGCAGCAGAGCCGCGATCCGGGCCCGGTGAAGCCGCTTGGCTTAGCGGGAAGGATGCGGGAATGGCCCGTGGGCTGCGGGCACTGAGGAGGAGCGGGGCGGACCCCGGAAACTCACTTTCTTGCTCAGGTAGAAGAACATCGTGGGAACCCAGAGCGAACGGCCGAAGCGGGCAAAGCCCGCCGCTGGTCACCGGTTCGCCGTCTCCAATTCCGAGTACCAGCGGCTCTGGATGGCTCCCGTCGCCCTGGCAACCGCCGCTACCCCGGCGCATCCGGGGCGCGAAGAGGCACTTCCGGTGTCGTCCTAGCCCCTGACGTCGCGCGCCTGCGCAGGCTCTGAAGACCCGCCACGCCACACCTGGCATGGCTGTGCCTCAGGTGTCCTTAGTGTCAGTACAAACAGGAAAGGTGCCCAAACCAGTAAGGTCACCAGGATCTGGTGTTTTGTAAGCTCCACTGTCCCATCATTCATAAAAGGAAAAGTCATTTATTGCACTTGGTATCTAGTGCCATCGGCCAGGCGGCGCAGATGTGCGTTTTGAGGATTGGTTGCCTTGTGCTTTGGGGCATTGCAGGGCCCTCTGGGCAATCTGAAAATAGGAGACTCTGTTTATTTTGTTTGGGAATTTTTAAAAGAGCTCCTTATAAAAGGAAAACTATGAACTTGGGCTCATTACAGCTACAGTTGCCATTGAGGTATAGCCTCCCTTTTTAAAATATTTGAGCTGTTTAGTGTCTTCTCCCCTGGGATAGACTTTTCTGTAGATACCATTTTTGATTTATATAATCTAGCGTGTACTTTACGCGGCAGCGTTAATTTCCCCACTTGGAGTTTTTCCCCTCCCAGGCAAATAATCTTTAAATCTTTTGATCCAGGTCTGTTGTCTCACCCAGCACATACTAGAATTAGCATGTACTAATTCTAAATTCTAAATTCCTAGTCTGTTTCCCATCAAATCTGAACTCCTGCTGGGGTTGTGGCTCAGTGGTAGAGTGCTCACCTAGCATGTGTGAGGCACTGGGTTCCATCCTCAGAACCATATAAAAATAAATGAATAAAATAAAGGTATTTTAAAAATCCTGAACTCCATCTAAAATCAGATCCCTGGCTCTGGGTGTAGCTCAGTGGTAGACTGTTGACCCAGCATTCAGGAGACCCTGGGTTCCAAGTCCAGCGAGACAAAAAGAAAAACAGATCTTTCCTCAGTCCTGAAATGTCTTACTGTGGTGCCCCACTCTAAGTCAATCGCTTTCTGAATCAGCTTTCCATGGGCTCTGCTTTCCATGCTATTTTAGATATCGATATCTATGATGTTCTTATTCTCTCATAGTCCAGTTGTGTCCAAGCCATACCAAATCAGGTCTACTGAGGAAATCTTTTCAAACTTAATTCCTATCCCATTCAGATATTTGTTTTCAAATGTTTGGCTAGATTTCCAGCATTAAACAGTAAACCAGGAGCCTATGATATAAATCAGTCATAGAATCATAGACTCATGACACAAATCAGTATTATCTAAGCTAAGGATTTTCACTCAGGTGGTCAAGACATGATACACTGAAACTAGTTGCTGTGAAGCTAGTTTTCCCTCTTGAAAACTCATTTCTCTCTTTAAATAAATACCTTTCCTTCCTTGCACATGAGTTCTAATTATTCCTTCCAGTATTTCTTTGTGATACATCACCATGTGTAACCAATTCTATGCTCAGATATATTTGAAAAATATGGTAGCTCTACATCATTTCCTTTCAAATATTTTGAAAAAATGCAATAGATAATTCATATATGCTGATTTGGTATTTATTTTTCATTTCTTTAAATTTCATATGTTAGGTTTACATCTGTAGGTTATATTTGCTTTTCAGGAATTTATATCAATGTAAACTTCATCATTATTGTACCCAAATTTTGATATTTTCTATTATCCCTCTCCCACACCATAATGATTAAAGCTTTTCTATTCAATCTGAACTTAAATTTATAGACTCAAGAATGTGAGACTGCAATAGCCAAGTTATGGAACCAGCCCAGGTATTTGTCAACAGATGAATGGATAAAGAAAATGTGATATGTATACACAGTGGAGTTTTATTCAGTGAGAAGGAAGAATGAAACTGTGCCACTTGCAGGAAAATGGATGGAATTTGAGAGCATTATGTTAAGTGAAATAAGCCACATTCAGAAGTGAAGGGTCATGTTATCTCTCATTTGTGAAAGCTAGAGGGGGAAAAAGGGTCAGAGTGTGTCATGAAAACAAAAGGGAGACAGCAGAGTAGAAGAAGGACACCAGGGGAATGAAGGAGGGAAGGGAAAGGGGAGATATAGAGGAATTAAATTGACCAAATTGTATGAATGAAGATATATATGAATATGTCACAATGAATCCCCCTATTATGTACAATTGTAATGCACCAATAAGAAATTTTTTAAAATAACTAAATGAACTAAAAAAATTCTTAGGTATTAAAATATAGTTCATAAGAAAGAAGTTATATGGGACAAGTAGAATATATATAAATAATGCATTTGTAGCATAAATGGTATAAAATTTCAAAAAAATTTAAGCGTGAGATTAGATTATAGGAAGAATATTAATACTCTGTCCTTTGACAAGAAGCTGTTATATTCAAATAATTATTCAGTTCAACATAAATAAATGTGTTCAATAGACAAAATTAATGTGAATTAACAAAAAATGGTCATGACATTAACACATAAAGATAATAACTTTTTATTATTAAAAACAATTCAAACCAAGAAAGAATTGATTGCTACACAACTTTAAAGGACTGTTTTGTTCTAAAAGTTTAAGCTGTAGAGATAAAGTATATGTATCAAATATATAAGTGAAAAATGTTATGCTTATTACTAACATTTAAAAAGACATTAGATTTTGTTCCTTGTTATATCAATTCTACAAATATATCATGTTATCAGTTGATCCTAAAGGAAAATGATAAAATAAATTTAGGACATTTTGCTCTTGGTAAAAAGTTTAGCACCCTAAATTCACAACTAATGCTCTTTAGTCATGCATTTCTAAGACCAGAATGAATTAAAAATTGCATGTAATATTTACTTAATTAACTACTTTTAAATATGTGTATTACAATCCCTTGATCAGAGTTTCAATAATACTCCTGCAAAAATTAACAAAAAACAAAAAGTGTTTAACAGTTCTAAATTATATTAATTTCAATTTTAATTATATGAGCTTTTCATGTGGAAATACTGCATACCATTTGCACTCTTGGTAATAAAATGGTTTATTTTAGAAATATTATCAAGAGAAAATATATCTTAAGTTTCCATTGTGAATGATTATCTTACTAATATAAACATTTAAAATTAAATGGCTCAATTAGTAGATAATTTTAAAAATTGAACTTTTCATTCTACTTCCTACCATTTCACAGTTAGAGCATAGAAACACTAAAGTTTGCCCTTAATAAGAATATGCACATTTATTTCCTTGGAAAAATGATACCGATTCTCCAGAAAATCGTCATACTATTTATCTGGCAATATTCAAGCATTTATAATGGCAAATAATTAGCAAGAACATTGAAGATACGAGTGTGCAAAAGTATATTAATTGCACCAAGTTTTCTACATTTCCACATTTTGAGCAATCTAACGATGTACTTGTCCATATTCATTTACTTGCAGCTTCTGCAAAATGTCATCAAGTAGCTAGTTGTTAAGGCCAACACCATTTATTTCTACACATTAGAAAACAAGCACACTTTTAAACACTTTTACACAAGATAAAAGAAAATTGTGTCCTAGTATAAGTGAGGAAAAAGAACTAGACTATTTTCTCAGCAAAAGTCTCATCTAACACTCAGAAGTTCAATTCTTTTGAGATCTTGATAAAGTCAGACCACTGCAGTGGTCTTCAGATATTTTTGCTCATATGAAATTCAATTGGACAAATACTTATTAGTAAGATGGATAAAGGGGAGCAACATTTATGAATTCTTGATTAAAGGAATTATTGGTCCTCTGGAAATTTTGCTTTTCTAGAAAAAGCATCTTATTAGATTCAGGGTAAGAGAGAGGTGTGCTTTTCTTGTGTAGTTAGGAAAATGGCAATCCTGAAATGGAAGATGAGAAACGAACATGCCAGCAGATTCCAAGTAGCATCTTGAGCAAGTGAAGTATTTGGAAATTGATTCAATTTGAACTGAAAAGTCTCCATACTCTTAAGTTGTACCAAGATCTGAATTCCACTCCTCTAAGGTAGCAGAGACAGAGTACTTAACTTGAGCTGGGCTGAGAAAAAGTACTTTTTCTGTTAGTATTTTGAAGTGTTGGTTTTGAAAGATCCTAAGACAGTATCATGTTACATTTTAAAATCTGTTTTTGAACACCTGGCTAGCCAAAGTGTGGAATCATGAAATCTGAGATATCACACCTCATCAGTCAGCTGATTTGTTCTGCACAGATGCAGATTCTGAACTAAGATGGCCATATAAAGGAAGCATAGGATAATTACCTCATCTGTTGAGTAAGAGCTCAATTTGGAGCATACATGCCATGGAAAAGCACTAGGAAATGTAATAGTTATGCAGCTTTTACATGTAAATATAAATGGTCTATTAAAGTATTTTAAAGAACTCTAAATTGAAAAAAAATCTATATTATTGCTGCTTATCTTAAAACAACAAATAAGGCCTTTGCCTTCCTAATATCCTAAAACATTTGGCTCATTTGTAGTACTTTCACTGGCTTCAAGAAGAAGCAGAAAACCTTCTGGAAAGGATATGTTTGGTGTTCAGTCTCTGGAGATAGGAGCTGACCTTCTCCTGGTAAGCTAGTGTGGCCTCACACCCACATGCATCTTCAGTAGAAATGAGTCTCCGTGCCTCTTCAATGGCTACAATGATAGCACATAAAATGTTATGGATACCTAAAGTATAAAAAATCAGGAAATATACAACTCAATGTTACCTTTTTTTTTTTTTTTTGGGGGGGGGGGGGGGTTGTTAACAGTAATTGAACCCAGAGGAGTTCAATCCTGAGCCACATCTCCAGCCCTTTTTGTTGTTGTTGTTCTGTTTTGTTTTGTTTTTTTTCTGAGACAGGGTCTTGCCAAGTTGCTTAGGGCTGTGCTGAGCTGCTAAGGCTGACTTTGAATTTGTGATCCTCCTGCCTCAGCCTCCTGAGCCACTGGAATTCAATATTACTATTTTTAAGACTTATTGAAATGCATTTTCCAGGAGGTAAAAGGATATAAAAACAAATGGAAGAGGAGAAACTACTTTGGAATAATGATGTCATGGAAATTTTTGTATTAGGAGATACAAGGGAAATGTTTATAATTGTCAAAGTCAGGTGATGATTATATGAGAGTTCATTAAATAATTCTTTATACTTTCATGATTATCAGAACTCATCAACAATATAAAGAAAATTTCTTTTAAAGATTGTATAGGAGGTACAGAGACAAGACAATCTTCTTCTGGTACTGTGTCCTCACTAATAAATGAAAAGAGAACAATAACTCTCCACTTGTATGGCCAAAGTACTTCAAAGGTTAAAACCAGGTTATACCTGATTTTCTATATAGGACTTTTAATTTATTAAATGGTTTGATGAGAGTTCTAGTTTTTACCCCAAAATACTTTAGTATTACAAATTCAGATATATATTGACATTTAAGTAAATGTAAGAGATTAATAGAGGTAACTCTATTTCTTTCTGTGATTCTGTGAGGCAAACATTCCTGTTAAATATTACAGCCCTTATAATTGCAAATAGAAATAAGCATAACTTCCCAAGCCTGAAGATTGCTGTCTAATCTTCCAAGTGAAACTATTGCCTGAGGGCAGAAAATGCTCCTTGGCTCCCATATTTTCTCTCATCTTCTACAAAAATGCAACATAGGCCTGGGGGACCATAAATTCACTTAATTAAATGCAATCTATTCACCTGTCTGAATCCTATTAAAACCTTTTGGGACCATCCGGCCCAAATCCCATCTTAATCAGCCTATTAATCAATCAGTAAGCAGAATATATCTATTGAATATCACCAACATGCCTATCATCCCTGTGCAGAGTATAAAATGGGTACATATGATACATATCCAATCTCTTGCCTAATAGACTCTAAGCTCTGGTGGGGGTTGGGGGTCTGTCTCAGTGTGATATTCTAATTAAAATTCTCTATAGAAAATTGCAAAACAGTGATGTAGCAAATTTGAAACTTGAGAGATAGACTCATTCACAATAGCATCTAAAAGAATAAAATACATAAGCGTGGTGTTTTTTTTAAAGTAGAAGACATAAACTCCATGTTAATGGATTGGAAGATTGTTAAAATGGCAATACTTTCCAAATTTGATCTGTAAATTCAGTACAATGCCTATGAAATCCCTGCTGACATTTGTGGAGAAATTGACAAAATGATCCTAAAATGTATAGAGAAATGTAAGGGACCCAGAATAACCAAAACAATCCTAAAAAGAAGAAAAAAAAACTGAAGAACTCATACTTCCTGGTTTCAAAATTCTCTACAAAGCTACAGTAATCAAGGCAGTGTGGTATTGGCAAAAAGAGGGCATGAGGATCAATGGAATAGAACTGAGACTTCAGAAATAAACTGTTTCATTTATGGTCACTTGTTTTTCAACAGGGTACCAAGACAAATTAATAAGGGAAAGAATACCTTTTGAACAAATTATGCTGGAAACCTGCATAGCTATATGAAAAGAATAAAGTTGGACACTTACCTCACACCATATGTGTGTGTGTGCATGTATACACATGTATATATGTAGCTCAAAAAAGACCATAGACCTAAACAGTATTTAAGGAAGGAAGGAAGAGATAAAACTAAAAAACTCTTAGAAGAAAATACCAGAAGTAAATCTTCATGACTTTGACCTATCAAACAGTTTCTTAGGTACAATAACAAAAGCATAAGATGCAAAAGAATAAATAAATTGAACTTTATAAAATTAAAAGCTTCTGTGCATCAAAAGACACTTTCAAAAAATGAAAGGGCGGGCTCGGGTTATGGCTCAGCGATAGAGTGCTCGCCTAGCATGTGCAAGGCCCTGGGTTCGATCCTCAGCACCACATAAAAACAAATAAATAAAATAAAGGTATTTTAAAAAATGAAAGGGCAATTCATGATATAGGAGAAAAAAATTTAAATCACATCTCTGCAAAAATTGCAAATTACACATTCCAACTCAATAAAAAGATAGAAAATCAACTTTTTAAAAATGGGAAAAGGGCTTTCAATAGACATTCTTCCAAATAATTTATAAAAGTCGCCAACAAGCACATGAAAAGATGGTCAAGATCATCAGTCACTAGGGAAATACAAATAAATACAAAAAAAATATATTGCCTTACCCCATAGGATGAATAATTTTTTTTAAAAAAAGATAGAGAGTAATAAGTATTGGCAAAGATATGAGAAATTAGAAGCCTCATTCACTACTGGTGAGATTCTTAAATGGTGTAACCACTTTGAAAAAGAGTCTGGCAGTTCTTTAAAATATTAAACATAGGGCTGGGGTTGTGGCTCAGTGATACAGCACTTGCCTCACACGTGTGAGGCACTGGGTTCAATTCTCAGCACATCATCTAAATAAATAAACACCCATCAACAACTAAAAATATATATATTAAAAATATATATTAAATATAGAGTTCCATGTGACCTAGCAATTCTACTTCTAGGTATATACTGCAAAGAAATTAAACCATATGTCCACACAAAGACTTGTATACTAATTACTGTTCATAGCAACATTATTCATACCAGCTGAAAAAGTGGAAATAAACTATTCATCAGCTGATAAGTGGATAGGCAAAATGGGGTATTTCTATGCAATAGAATATTATACAGCAATGAAAAGGAATAAAGCACTAATGCATACTACAAATATGGATGAATCTGGAAAATAGCACACTAAATAAAAGAAGCCAGTCACAAAAGCCACAAAGCATACCATCCATTTATATGAAATGTCCAGAATAAAAAAATCCATAGAGGTAGAATTAGTGCTTGCCAAGGACAAGGGGCTGGGAGGAATGGGGGAGTGACTGATAATGGGTATAGGTTTCTTTTAAGGTTGACAAAATTTTCTATAATTAGATAGTGCTGATAGTTGCCCAATTTTTGAAATACTGAAAATCAATGCACAGCAGTTTTTGTTTGGGCATGTAACTCAGTGGTAAAATGTGTGCTTAGCATGCATGCAGCCCAAAATTTGATTCCCAGAACCAAATACCAAAAAGAAAAAAAAAAAGAATAAATGTTGTGATAAGTGAATTACATCTCAATAAAAATTGTATAGGAAGGAAGAAGGAAAGAAAACGAAGGAAGGAAGGAAGAAAGCTAGCGAAAAAAATGTAGATATAAACATTAGAGCTCTACACCTAGAAAAAATGAACCAAGACTCACTCAACTTTTCAAGCCTTCAATGGTCTCCTCTTTTTTCTAAACATACACACACACACAGTATTTACTGTGTGCCCTTTAGTTAACATTTGTGTTATGCTCTCTCACAAGGTTAAAATGCCCCTACTTGGAATTCCTACCTGAAATTTGTCTCCAGTTTCTTCCTCAGAATCTAATAGAGTACAATTTGTTTAACAGTAGCTCCATAAACTGCTGATGGAATAAATACATGAACCTTAAAAAAATAAAATGAGGTGACAGCCTAAACCATTAAAAAAATTATGCTGAATTCTCAACTTTCCAGGAGGGGAAATTTAAAAAAAAAAAAGATTGATTTTTCTGAAAATTACCCACACTTACTCAAGTTCTAGAAACAAGCTGATCCTCATTATTCTTGCCCTTCATAAGAAATTGATTCATACTTTATTTCAAATGAAATAATACCTTCAATGAAGAAATGTCTGCTGAAAAACTACTTTGTGTACTGTGGTACAGATCACAGATCACCCTTGGGGTTGCTAGAGGATAAAACAATCTGCTAGAGGATAAAAACACACAGTTACCAGGGGCTAGAGGAGTAGGAATGGGCAGTTATTGTTTAATGAGATCAGGGTTTTAGTTTGAGATGATGGAAACATTCTGAAAATGGATAGTAGTAATGGTTGCACAGCAATGTGAATGTGTTGAATGTCAGTGAACGGTACATTTAAAAATGGTTAGAATGGGCAGGGCACGGTGGTGCACACCTGTAATCCCAGTGGCTCAGGAGGCTGAGGCAGGAGGATCGCAAGTTCAAAGCCAGCCTCAGAAACAGTGAGGAGCTAAGCAACTCAGTGAGACCCTGTCTCTAAATAAAATACAAAATAGGGCTGGGGATGTGGCTCAGTGGTCACGTACCCCTGAGTTCAATCCCTGGTATCCCCCCCCAAAATGGTTAGAATGGTAAATTTTGTGTTATGTATGTTTTACCATAATTTTAAAAATCAGACTTAGGTAGAGATAGTAATTAGAAAAAAGAAAGAGAAGAAGTTGGAATCAGATCGTGGAAGGTACACTGGCAGAGGAAGGTAGTGTTTCCTGATGTAGGCAACTGGAAGCCAGTGGAAGATTCTGGCCAGGAGAACGGTTCATAACTTCAGATGGAGAGAGAACAGGTTCCTCCTAGATTTTCCTACCCAACAGATTAGGCTTGAAGGGCCAGTCTTCACCTGAACATGTCTTCTTGTCCTCGTTCAATGTGTAGCCAGGAAAACAGTCGCAGTGGTAGGAAGCTGCCCCGTCACTCACACACACGTGCTGGCAGCCGTGAGTGCCCAGAACACACTTGTTCTGGACTAACCAGGAATAGGGCAGGAGAGAAACAGTCACACATTAATTAAATATGCAACTAAAAACAAACACTGGGAGAAATAATCTTCAGTTTGGTCCCGCCCAGTGCTGAGAATGAATCCTTCAGCAGTCGGCCACAAGCCCCACATTCCAGGAGAAAGCCTCCTTCCCTCTCCACCTCCCATCCCTGTGGCTCTCCTTTGATCACAGACATTCCTGCCAACCCCAACAGCTCCCCACCATCTTCTGCAATCTAATGCTGCTTTCTTTTTTCTTCCTGTAGCACTAAGTCTCAATTATATTCCAGAACTTGCCTTGGGCATTTCTGGTGACTGTCAACATCTCCAGTATCTCCAGCTTATCATGGATCATCACCAAAAATAATCTATTAAGGACCTTATTGAACTTGGAACTAAGTGTGATGCTACACAAAAAGTACTGCATTGAACAAAGACCTGCTGTCTATAGCTTATAAAATGGGACAGAAAACAATAACCTGGAGACACATATGAACACACACACACACACACACACACACACACACACACACTTACAAACACAGAGAAAAGTGATAGCAACATTATTAATAACAAAGGTGATAAGTATGACTGGACAGTGAAGTATTTATTATCTATCAATAAGTAGCATTTCAAGGATGAAGACAGTTTGCCCAAATTTAAGTGGAGAGCAGAGGAAAGTGCCACATCAGTCCCATGTCCAAACTGGCCCAGGACAAATGAAAATGCAACTCCCCTTTAAAATCCAAGTAAGTTTCCCTGGAGACATGGGTTCTTCCTCTGCCATGACAGGGACCAAAGTGTTTTATTTGTTCCCTTCTAGCTCCCCTCTTAAATCCTTTTTCCAAGCTCAGAAACCTTCCATGGCTTACTATTGCCTAGAAAATAACTTTGCATGAAATGCAAGGCCCTATGAAATGTATTCATAAAGTGCTTTTCCGGTCCTAACATGGATATTCCCTTCATCGATACAATTTAGATTTTTTTTTTCAGCAAAATACAAAATAGGAGATGACTCTATTTTCCCCTTATCCCAGCTTGGCATTTACTCTACAGATAGATACTGGCTCTGCTTCCTGCTCTGGCCCTGACTTGGGACTCCACATCCAACCTACAAGCCTTCCTATCACCCAGTGCGGGGAAAGCAGGTCCGTGGAGACATCTGACAGTCATGTAGACCAGCCTCATCATGGCACTATTCCTTATTACTTTAAAACACATGTATACTAACTCGCTCACAATTCTTTCTCCTCCACTCATCTTTGCTGTCAGGTTCTTTGTACAATGAGACAATGTTCAAAGTAACCCTGGGAACACGCGATCAAACCCTGTCTCTACTACTTACAAACCAGGTGACCTGAGCAAGTTTTTCAAGCTGCCTATGCCTCAGTTTCCTCCCAAAGTTGCTATGAGGATTAAAGGCATGGCTTTGTGTATAAAATGCTTCAAATCATGTGCAGCCCACAGAAGGTACTGAAGAATGCTGCCCACCATTATCTGGGAGCATTACCTCAAGAGAGGGAAAGTTAAACAAGATCTAAAAAACATTCAGTATGCCAAAACGGGCACTACCTCGAGAGCTTGGAATTTCTCTCCTTTAGGACTGTTCTGACATTTATGAATGCCACCCTGTTCTGCCAGTGAGCCTAAATCAAATTAATGAGGATTAGCAGTTGTGGTAGGGCTCATCAGCCAAGTCATAAGGCTCAGATTCACCGAAGATTGATCAGCTAGACACTGTCAGGGAATGTCCAATTCAGACTTCCTGGAAGATCTGTGTGGGTCTAATTCAGGCATTTACAAAGTCTCCTTTACTAAAACGATCCAGCTTTAAGATTAACGTTACAGAAAAGTTCCAGGCCAAGTTTTAACTGGAAAAAGATCAGTTCAGCCTATCACACTAAATAGTTACTGTCCAACCGACTTCCTCTAAAGTCTCCTATTTGCTTAAAAGGTCCCCAGTGTATAGGGCTATAAAATTTTCCTGGATAAGGATCTAATATTTAATTAGCTTTTCTCATATCCCCCACTCCCTACGCATTTCCAGTAATTTTCTGAAGTGATCTATGTTTGCAAAAACCAGTGAGCTCACCACCCTCTGAGCATGTGTGCCTTCATCCATAAGCACAACAGAATGCCTGAACCCGGTCGTGCTTTAAGTTACCACTAAGAACTTCTCTCCCAGCAAATTGCAAGTCAATTTCACCACAATAGGAAGAGTCAAATATGAAAGAATTTGTTAAGTAGACTTTACCTGAACATGTTTTCTTATCCTCATTCAGAGTGTATCCCTCATAACATTCACAGTGATGGGACCCATCTCTGTCATTCACACAAATGTGCTGACAGCCATGGGCACCAACAGCACATTTGTCTTGAGCTGTCAGTGGAAAATCCAGGAAAAAAGGAAATAAAAAGTGAAAGAGTCTTTTATTACCCATAAATAGAAACCTTCTTATTTGCAGCTAGAAATATATAAGAGGAAAACTTATTGGAGGCTAGTCAAAGCTGTCAGTATTATTTGCTCTAACTAGAAGTTAGCCGAGTTAAATAAAATCCTGCACACACATGATAATTATTCTCCAGTCTTCCCCAGTTCCTTTTCAAAAGTCATCATCATTGAGTTTTTATAATCTAAGATTCTCATAAATATATTCTAAAGGATTTCCTTTTAGGTTTACTGTATTTACCCCATTCTAGAGAGATATGAACAGTTATGTGACTAATTACATTAGATATGGAAAGACAGAATTAGAATTTGAAAAAATTGTAATTCAGCCCTTTCCTGTTTTATTTTCTTTTTTTATGTATCTTTTTGCAGTACTGGGGAATTGAGCCCAGGGATGCTCTATCACTGAGCCACACCCCCAGACCTATTTTTTATTTATTGTATTTTGAGACAGGATCTTGCTAAACTGCTGGGGCTGGCCTAAAACTTGCAATCCTCCTGCCTCAGCTCCCCCAGTCTCTGGGATTACAGGCATATGCCACCACACCCAGTAAACCTTTTCTCTTTTATAAATGAGGCAAATAAACAACAAAGAGACCAGTTGATTCAGAGCAGTATAGAACTCAGGACTCAAATTTTCATTCAACGCATTTACCTCTGTACTAGTAAGTTTTAAACTATTTTTTATTTTTAAACTTTTTATTTTGAGATAACTTCATACTTATGAAAAACTTACAAAAATCCAAATAGTTGCTGTACTTTACCTTGCCTCCCCAAATGTTAACAATTTACATAACTCTAGTATGATTATCAAAAACATTGATATGATATGATTTACTAATATGTATAGTTTTTCAAATTTTGCCAATTGTTCTACTAAAGCCCTTTTTATGATCCAGGACCCAATCTAGGATCCCACATTGCATTAAGTTGTCACATGGTCTTAGTGTCCTCCAATATGGGACATATCCCCAGTTTGCCTTTGTACCAGAAAATTATTTTTGTGAACTAAGAATGTCTTGATGTTTGATTTTGTGTGATGTTTTTTCATGGTTCTGAATTTTTAAAAAGAATACCACAGACATGCTGCTGTATCCTCAGTACAGGATGTCAACTGATGCATGATGTCACCGTGGTCATCACTAATGATACTGGCTCTGATCACTTTGATGACTTGAAGATGGTGGTGTCTGCCAGGTTCTCCACTACAAGGTTACTATCTTTCCTTTCGAAAGCAATAAGTATCTTGTGAGATGTTATTTGGTGTTAAATTACTAAATTGTAGCATTTGGAAGGAGTGTGAGGGCTGGGTGGAGAAAAGAACTGAGTCTCACATTCACAGGTGATACATACACATTACTATTTCTAACTCTTCCAATAAGACTTGGAAATGGGAGGGGGAAAAAAAGCCCAGGTGACAACAGAGAAAAACAATCCAAGTACAGGGGTGGGACTTGATGCACTCAGTCGCAGTGCCTGTGACCCAAGTTCCAACACTGGGTAGGCAGGTAGACATGTAAGTATGTAGCAGCAGTACAGGCTCCTCCCCACTTACCTGAACAAGTCTTCCTGTCTTCATTCAAGATGTAGCCTTCGCGGCACTCACAGTGATAAGAGCCAGTCCTGTCATTCACACAGATGTGTTCACACCCATGAGTGCCGAGAGCACACTTATCAATAGCTGCCAAATGAGGAGCAGAACAAATGTGAACCCAGGGAGAGTAGGCAGCAAGACCTACTTTTACAGACCTCACTACACAGAGCTAACAAAGGGGGCGGGGCTCCAGGAAGGGAAGTGGCAGATCTGGAACTGACTGGTATTGGCTTTCAGTAACAGACCCTCAGATGTGGGTTGTCTTTTCCCTTCTTTGTGTCTCAATTTCACAATTATAAAATAAGTAGGTTGAATTCAATGATCTGTTTTCTTACTCTCAAAAACTCTTTTCTAAGATTAAAAAGAAGAACCTAATTGCCCTTCTTCATCAACTTCGAATATTCATGCCCCAGGTACCTGAGACCCTCTCTAAATTTTCCTCTACTTCTAGAATTCATGAGCATCTATGGTCAGAGAGAGGAAGGGGGAGGCTGGTATCCAATTAGAAACAATCCGGGAAAAATGCCAAAGCCACAAAAGGACCAAGAGTTTAGGATCTTTATCATCTTTCCTGTCTCCCTTGTTCCTTTTCAAGGCAAATCATCCATGAGCAACAGTAAACCAGCCAAAAGGCAGTTAGGTAGAAAAGGTGTCGGAGTCAAAGCACAAGGCCGGTCCCACCCCAGAAGAAGAGATCCCAAAATAACAGGATCGTCAGCCGCTGTCCCCCAGCAGTCTCACCTGTGCACGTTTTCTTGTCCGCGTTCAAGGTGTACCCTTGGCTGCACTCGCAGTGGTGCTGGCCCTCCCCATCACTGACGCACACGTGCTGGCACTGGTGCGTGCCTAGCGCACACGGGTCCAGGGCTGTGCAGAGGAAGTCGGGGCAGTCAGCGTCAAAAGGTAAAAACATTTCAGATACTTTCTCACGTGTTAAGAAGGCATTGCTCGGGCTGGGCTTGTGGCTCAGCGGTAGAGCCCTCCCCTAGCGCGGGCGAAGCCCTGGGTTCGATCCCCAACACCACATAAAAGTAAATAAATAAAGATATTGTGTCCAACTACAACTAAAAACTAAATATTAAAAAATATATATACTTCAAAAAAAAAGAAGGCATTGCTCTTTATTTCACTATCAAAATGGGTTATTTGTTGTCTGCCTCTGGCTTACTAGAAATACTCTTAAACTAGAAATGTTACTAATTTAAAATTACAGACCTTGCTAGAAACTCTCTCAAAGGAGAAAGATAATTTTGGAGCCCGAGCTGAAGCCAAACACTTCCATCAGTCAGCTGCCTTGATGTTTTACTCAGCTTATCCACATTCCTATGAAAAAGATGTTTGCTTCCCAGCCTCAAGAGATGGGGAGAAGAGTAATGAACAGTGCTGTGAGCGAGTTGACCCATCTAAGCCAGAACTTGGTTTGCAAGGGTTCCACATTTTGTGTCTAAACAGAATTCAATGCAGGCATCCCCCTCAGCTGGGGACACACTCTCACTAGGGTCAAAACACATATTTTGACGTGCACACGATGGGAGCAATCTGGGTAACTGCTTTCTAAACATGCAACATGGGTTCTTGAGATCAGGTATCTACGTAGGCAACTTGGAGACACTGAACTCACATGATAAATACAAACAGGTAAAAAGAAAAGAACTAACTGAATGAGATTATATCAGCTTAATGTCCTCTCCAGCTTTTTGCTCCTAGAGCCATTTGTATCTCATTGAATTTTTTTTTTTTCCTAGCGACATGTTCTGAAAGACGAATCAATGGATTTAGTCACTTCTGAGGAATCAAGGAGGCCTGCTGGAGAAGGCTGGCGCTCCTGTGGCAGGTAACCCAGCCTCCATTGCCCTTGGCAGCAGGACAAGGCTAATATTTTCCCAAGAAGGGCCTTTTCATGAAATGATCTTTCCAACCCGTTGACTACAACAAGCTGCCCCTCAGTCTTTTTTCCATAGAGAGGACGCTCCCCCGACCCCAGAACAGCATGTCTTTTGTACCAGAGGAAAAGCTTGCCACTCACCACTTGTTACTTTATGGCCTTCAAGCCCAACCCCAGGTGCCAGCTCTGACACCCAACTGTGCCACAGAGCAGCATCCTGATGCAGTAACTCTCACCCGCAAGCTCGGGGGTTTTCCTGGGAGAAAGAAAGCCACTTTCTTTTTGGAACCCAATGAATACCAAGTAGATACCACCAAGGCCAATGACGGCCTGAGAAGGCACAGTGTCCCAGGACAGGAAAGAAGAGGAACCCAGCCAGGTCTGGTTGAGATGAGGCCAAGCTTCCCCCAGACCAAGGCTGCTGCTCTCATTTCCCAGCTAACTGGTGATTGCTGGGCTTCACGTCAGTTTAGATATGAATCTCCTCAAGATTTACAATTGCAATTATTGGCTCACTTGCTTGTCTCACCCCCAACCCCAGAATGTTAACTGATGGTTGGGAGAACTATATTTTTTGTCATCAGTTATCAATAAATGCATGCTGAATAAACAAATGTGGAATAAATTATATAGCAAAAAAAAAAAAAAAAAAGTATGTATGTTTAGAAATTCACCTGAACTAGAAATCTGTACCCACTTTCTTGGGTGTTTTCATAGAGAGTTTCAAAGACTATTCTCCAAATGATAATAAATAAAACACGAGCCCCACAAATCATCATTCTTATCAGATCAGTGACTAAAAATAAACCCCAGCCCCAGATGATTCATGCTGACGCATCTGGCTGTATCATGCTAAAAATCCCAATGAAATTAGCATGTTCATATTCAAACTACATCCTAAAGGAATAAAGAAATAGAAAAATAAAAGAATGTTGTTGTTGTTGTTGTTAATCTTCTTCTTTCATCCCTCAGCTGAACCAAAACCCCAATCTTCCTGGTCCCTAATCCTCTTACACCACACAGAATAGCCAAAGAAAGAGCCCAATCTGAAAACAAGTGTTCCCTAACACCGCGCACACTGACAGTAACATTGGGATATAGTCCACTGACCCTCCCAGGACAGACACTGCTCCCTGTTTTTCTACAGAACAGGCAGAGTTCTGTTAAATCTGGAGATGGTAAAACTGAAGAAAGTACCTGGGAAAAAAGTGTACTGGGGGATGGAGACAAGACAGGCATCTTGAGGTTTCCTCCACCCCACCCCATCAGGGAACAGCAGGATTATTTATCTTGGGTATTTCTAGACCTTCACATTTCTAATGCAAACATGAAGATTTTATGAGCAAACCAAATATATAATGCAGCTCTATATTTCTAAACCAACGTCGTGTGTTTAAGTTGGTAAAAAACACCAAAAAAGCACTGGATGCATTTAAGTTTTTCATAAATGTCCACCACCACCACCACCACCCCTCAAAAAAAGGGGTGAAAAATGTCCTTTTCTCTGGGAACACAATGTCTGAAATGTAACATCCTTACTAGCTGGAAGCAAAGACTTACCAACTTACCACAAAAGGTTTCCTGGAATCTAGAGGAGAGTTTCTCAATGACCCCGTAGGTCTCCACATAGAACACATGCTCTTCCAGGGGCTCACTGGCCATCATCTTGAGGGACTCCATATCTGCCCTGTCCACACCCACAGCATAGAGCTCAATGCCAGATGCCCGGGCCCGGGCAGCCACCTCATTCACCTGGTCCTGGGGCCTCCCATCTGTCACGATGATGGCCACCTTAGGGATGTTGGAAGTGGGCCCCCGAGCCCCTGCCTGCACTGTGAAGGCTTCATCCATTGCTGTCTGAATGGCCAGCCCCGACATGGTGCCTGTGGACAAGGGGGTGATTCGTGCTACCGCTTGTTTTAGGGACTGCTTATCTGAGTAGGTCTGCAGCTGGAACTCAATCTTCACTGTACTGGCATAGTTCACTAGGGCCACCCGTGTGTCAGCTGCCCCAATGTCCAGAGTGTCAATGATCCGGGAGACAAAGGTTTTCACTTTGGTGAATTCCAGGGGCCGTACGCTTCGAGAACTGTCGATGATAAACACCAAATCCAAGGGCATGCTCTTGCAAACACCTGCAAAGAAGAACATGGGTAGCAGAAGAGACCAAGCAATGATCAGATCACAACCAGAAATGGGACAATACTCACTCCCAGACAAACAACTCTGGGATTCCAGGAGGCCAGACAGAGTAGCACCCCTTAACCACAAAGCCGCCACTGCCTGCTACTTTCCCCAAGTTCATCCTCTCGTGGGTGTTTAAAGCATGACAGCTTTCAGAGTCCCATAGTGAGAATTCACATGAAGATGTGAAGTGTCCCCATATATCTACCTATAAGCTGACTGACCTCTGAAATTTTGCTTAGAAATCTGATTAAGGTTTTGCTCTCAAGGTTCCTTGTGACCCCTAGGAATTAGTAGATCCCAGCCATGTCCTGGGCACCATGGCTATCTGAGGCAATGGGAGTTGAGTGTTCCCAAACTGTGTAAAAGGCCCTCAGATCCAGCCTTACTGCACAGTTCCCTGCCCAGGCTTGTAGCAGTGGCAGAATTTGAGGCAAGGCACTCTGACAATCTTCTAGTAGCTTCCTTCTTCTATTCCATTTCTAGGGGATGAAAACTGCCCCACAGTAGCCCTAAAGTCTCCCTCCATCTGGTCACCCATTCATTCTTGTTTTGGTGAGCTTTGAGTTAGTTGAAGATTGTGGGATGACAACTTAATGTGATATATGCCTCTTGCACTCCCTAATTTGAGCATGTCTTATTGTTTTAAGGAGCAGAGATTGTGACCTGGCATCTATTCTAGTACCTACATCACACTCACATAGTCACCTCTCATTCACTTATTCATTCACCATTTTTTTTTTTTTTTTTTTTTGCAGTTCTATACAAAAAAGTCCTATGCAGTCCTATGAAGCCCTGGGGATAAAAAGGCAAATAAGCCAGATTTCTCAATCCTCACTGTTTACTGTATTTTTTCTACACAAAAGTACCTGGCACACTGTAGTGACACAAATTTTAGTTTTCTTCTTTTCTTTCCTAGTTTTTTCTACGTCCTTCAACCCTATTTGCACATCCCTCTCCCAGTCAGCAAAATCAAGTTCACAACTCAGGACTAGATAAGAAAGAAGCCAGTTATTACACTTCTTTTTCAAGCCAACACCAACACATGCTCATGCATATACAACACACACATGTAGTCCTAAGTGGAAATGAAATCTTTGGGCATGAAGTGTAAATCAAGGTTCTTTACTTTTCTAACAAAAAAAGAGATGATGCTTCTCTAAGAAGGCAATTTATTACTCAATGAGTTGGGAAGAAAGGTGGACTCAAAATAAACTCTTAGGCCAAGCTGTTTATGGAAGAAAAAACCTTGTCTAGAACAAGGATCAAGTCTATGTAGTTTTCATTCAAGAGCTAAAAATTATCCTCTTGGCTTTCCCCTCTGCCTGGAGGTATTCAATTAAGAAAGCAGCACCTTTACTTTCAATTATAATCTAGGGATCACAGGGCACCAAGACAATAACCCTGTGAAGTTGTTCAGAGGTTGTTTATATTGTATACATCTAACAGGTGAGATGCTGAGATTCAGGGAGGAGTGAGAACTAGACAGCAGTGAGAACCAGTCAGGACTCAGGTTTCCTGACTTCCAGCAGCGAGGCCTTCCTGCCACACCACGGCTGCTCCCTCTGAGGCAACGTTTTCCACCATTAAAAAAAAAAAAAAATCAACATTATCTCATATACCTAGAAACGTCCTGCATATTGACTTTGAGCCACCACCATGAAATATGCTGTGCGTCATGTATTTAGTTAAGTCAAAAGGAATTAAAAATCTCCTTTTTTCAAACTCCTCCAGAATTTCACTTCATCCCTTCAGATTCCCATGGATTAGGGGCAAGGAAGAAGAGCTGTGTTGCAAATCCTGTCTGAACAGGGGTCAGGTACTTTTACACTATTAGAGTAAAAAGAAAAAAAAAAACATGATGATGGAACCCTGTAATTACCATGCAGTGGTGTCACTTGGATAAATCATGGTTCTATTCTTGTAACCAGCATACATGATTCCTTTCTTCTCCACTGAATCCTTATTGGGGGGAGTTATGGGGATGTGGTAGGCAGAATAATGCATCCCCCGCAAAGATGTCTAAGTCCTTATCCCAGGAACTTGTACATATGCTACTTTTCCTGGCCACAGGGACTTTCCAGGTATGATGAAAGAGCTTGGGATGGAGAGCTTATCCTGTATTATGCAGGTGGGTCCAATATAATTACAAAGTCATCTAAAGACGGAAGATGACGGCAGGACAGGGGGTGCAAGTGATAGAATGTGAGAAGGATTCAACCTACCATTGCTGGCTTTGAAGAGGGAGGAAGAAGGTCATGAGCCAAGGAACATAGCAACCTCTAAGAAGCTGGAGACAGCAGACAGATTCTTCTCCCCTAGAACCTCCCAAGGGATAGGGATGCAACCCTATTGGCATTTTGAGTTTAGCCCAGGGAGATCTGTCAGACTGATGTACAGAACTCTAAGATAATAGTGTGGGTCACTGGGTTGGTAGCTTAGTGGTAGGATAGCTTGGTGGTAGAGTGCTTGCCTCACATGCATGAGGCCCTGGTTCTACACACACACACACACACACACACACACGTGTGCCCCGCCAGCATACACAGAGTGTTGTTTTAAGTCACTAAATTCATGGTTATTTGTTGCAATAGCAATAGAAAACTAATAAAGGAGTCTTTGGCCAGGGTAGCAGGCAATTCTGTGACCAGGTTCCTTCCTGATTTGAACCCCGTCGGCAAGGGGCAGTAATTGTTTTTTGAGTCTCCCTCCCAATGACTAAATAGCAGCAATTTGATTCTCAAGAAGAAAGTGAATATCTGAGTCTCCTAAAATGTTTTCATATTCACAATATCACCAATTTTTGACAATTTTTGTTAGAAATAAAAGCCCATAGCAAAGTCATGGCAATTCTTGGTTGCTAAAAGGAGAGAATCTGGAAGAGGTGCAGAATGTGGTGTTTATTCAAGAATTACGCTTCAAGATCAGGTTTGAATTACAGACAGGAAAGATTCAAGGCAATTTAGTGGGGAAATGGTCACCTAGTGCAGAATCTCACCGACCCCTCCAGTCCCATCCGAGAGGGAGGTGAGCTCTAGAAGCAACACCACTTCTAGAAAAAAGGCTTTGCCAGCAACCCCACCTGGAGCAACCAGCTGGCTACCAGCCGAATTTTACCCCTGTGAGCCCTGGCCCCTCTTTTGCCATTTCAAACATGAGAGTAATGCAAGAAAGAGTCCTCTGAATTCCTTCTCAACTTATCCAGAAAGGAGGGGATGGGCAAGGCAAATGAGCCTGATAGGCAGCATTGCTGGCCAGATGAGAAAGGACACAGAGAAAATGGTATAAACAGCCTCTTTCAAACAAGACTGATGCTGGACTTCTTGGTAATGAAGCTAAAATCTTATGTAAACCATATGAAGAGCTTGATAGGTTGGAGCAGTGGAAAGAATCCTCACTTGGGATTTCAGGGACCTGAGTTTTATTCTGAGCTTTGACACTGATTTGCTGGGTCCCTTCGCTTTGATAGGGGTTACCCTGTATCTTTCAGGGGCTGTGTCAGATGATCTGCCAGCTTGGCTGAGCTAGGAACTTTGCTGTTTCAGGAATCAATTACTGACCAAAAAGAGAAATAGAACTGATTGCTAAGACTCAATGTCTTGAGGATCTAAGAGAGCTCAGGTTGGGCCCAGTCAGTTTGAGAACACCTGGTCATGGACAGGAGAATAGGGTTGAGACCAGAATGGTTTCAGGCATTCAGGTGGCTTCTCTGGGTCCCTTATTGGCCTCACACGGCACCCCAAGACTTCCCCTCTGCTAAATCCCGGATTCCACTGAGGCAGCTTTAGGGCTGTAGGATAGAATCATCCACAATCCTGGAATAGAAGCAGAGGAATTTCAAGAGAACTAAAAGTAGAATTCCTGGAAGGCTTGGTTCCACTGAAGTGTCGCCTTAAACCGAAGTGGGAGGCAGTCCCAGCGCTGCCTTAGCTGCTACCCGATGCTCCCTGCCCAAATCACAGGGGGAGTTTGAGCTTCAGGAAACCCAAATTCTAGCCCGGACACATAAGTAACCTTGAGTGTCTCCCTTCCTTTTTCTGCATCTCAGCTTTTCGGCACAGGATTCTCTGGGACCGCAATTCTTTCTCCCGCACCGCTGCCCGTCTGAGGCTGAGATGCAAGACACTTGCCAGAGATCCGAAGCTCTCCTTCGATGCCCGGCTCCGCTGCCCACCCCCGCGGGCCAGGCTCTCGTTCCCTCTGTCCTGCATTCTGCCCTCTTAAGCTGTGGGCCGTCTCCCGCCCCGCCCCTCTGTACCTGCGCCGCGATTCCCACCTGGCTCGATGGCTCCGGAATAGGGCGCGCGGGTGGGAGCGGGTCGGCGCCCGGGGCTGCCGGCGGGGCCACGAGTCCCCAGCCTCCGGACGCCCGGGCGGTCCAGGGGACCAGGGCTGGCGGGGGGCGGCAGCAGCAGCACCAACCAGATCAGCAGGAGTCCTGAGAGGTGGCGCGCGGGGGTCAGGAGCGGCATGGTGGGCTCGGCGGGCCTGCAGGTGCGTGTCTGCCGAGTGAGATCCGAGCCTTCTGGGTCAGTCGGGGTCCTGCGACCCGCGCAAAAGCCGCCAATTTAAAGATCCCGCGCTTGCGGCCCCGCCCCCGCCCGCCCCCGGCCGCGACGCCAGGCGAGTTGGGCCACCCCTCCCAGGGCCAACAAGGAGCCTTGTCTGCACATTCCAGTGGCCGAAGCGGAATGTCTGGGGCGAGGCGGCCAGCGGCGCGGTGGTCACTGCCCGCCCGGGTCCAGCTCTGCGCCATGAACCGCCTGCGGCTGGGTGGGCTCGGCCGGGTGCCTCTGGCCTCCTTGTAAAACCTGGAGCGGAGGCAATCTGTGCAGGAGCGCATGCTGCTCGACTCTCCTAGCCCAGAGCCCCGCGCCCCAGGGTCCCAGCTGAGGAGCCCTTGGGCGCTGCCCGCCCTCGCCGCTCAGGTGTGCCTGCCTGCGGGCTCTTGCAGGATGAAACCTTGGTCCTTGAACTACCTACCTTTCACTAGCCAAATAACCTGAATTTTACTAGGAACTCTTGGTTTTGGGGGGGAAAAAAGAAAGAAAGAAAGGGCCTCACAGATTCTAACAGCATGAATAGAAACGCTTTCATTCGCTTCAAACATCTATAAACATTTGAACTTATATTTCCAGGAGTAGAAAGTCAAACATGCATTCTCCCAAAGAGCCCGGTTAGCTGGAAGGACAGGCTGTACCCGCAGAGGCTTCAAAAAGCCTTCTCTGTATCTCATTTCCTCTCCTATTGAGTTACCTGCAGCACAGGGCTGGAAACTACTCAGGAAACCCTCAAGAACTCAGTCTACTGGGAGGGAAATATGCATGAACGGTGTATCTCTCCAAGGGCACATTGTGGATTTACAAAGAGAAAGGCCTGGGCAAGCTAAGAAGACTTCTAAAATCAGAGGACATTTCAGGTGCAACTTAAAAGGTGGCATGAACATGAGTTCTAACGGATCCTATCTGGTCTTCCCGCCTCTGCTATGGCCCTTCTACAACCCATCTAGGCAGTTACCTGAAAATCTCTTCTCATACTTATTATACACCATGTTCTTTGTAGATTTTATGCTATACCCAAGAGGTAGAAACAACGCAAGTATCCCTCTTTGGATGAATGGATAAGCAAAGTGTGATATCTGCATATCACAAGGGAATATCATTCAGCCTTTTCAAAGGAAGGAAATTCAAACATATTATAACATAAGTGAACCTTGAGGATATGATGGTAAGTGATATAAATCAGTCACAAAAAGACAGATACTGTATGATTCCATTTATATGAGGTATCTAGGATAGTCAAATTCATTTAAAAAAACACACACACACAAGTAGAATAGTGGTTCCCAGTGAATTTAGGAGGTAGGAATAGGGAGTCATAGCTTAATGACACGAGTTTCAGTTTTACAAGATGAGAAAGTTTTGGAGATGAGTTGTATAACAATACGATTAAACTGATTACATGTGAATGGGTTGCCTCAAAGTTCAAGGGTTGGATATGTAATTCTCAAAGTCATAGATGATAATCGTATTTGGAGGTAGAATTTTGGAGGCAATCGGGATTAGATGAAGTCACAGAAGGGTCCCTGTGTAATGATGGCATTGGTAGCTTTGAAAGAAGACGGGGAGAGACCCAAGCTAGCATACTTTCTGTGCCTTGCCATGTGATACCCGCTACAGAGTAGGCTCCAGGAGCACAGAGAGGATGCTTGCATGGTTCACTGCCAGTTCCCAGAAAGTCTACCTTACCACATGCAGGTTCACAGCCAATGATGAGACTGAGACTTTAGGAAAAAGGAAGATCCCTGAACAGGGCAGATTTTGAGCCTTACCATTGCAGGGTGGCCAGACACAATGGATTGTTTGTAGAAGAAACAACCTGGCACTTCTTTTTCCAAGAGCTCTGCTCAGGAAAGGGTTTGCTCTGTTTCACTTCACTGACCGGCAACAGACTGCCCTGTGCTGGGCATTGGCTCCACACAGTGGCCTTTCTTTGGCCTTCTCTAACAGGCAGGTTGGGTCTTCCTCCACCACCAGGCTTCTCGGTTACCAATTTGGACCCCCAACTGGGTCCTTTTTCCCTGTTGGAATTGCAGAACCAATAAACAAAACTGATCCCCAAATGAGCAAAAAAGGAAGGCTTATTCTTGGCTAAGAACAGGAGAAACAGGGAGAAAAGCTCCCAAATTAACTTTTAAACCCTTTGGGGGTAGGGAAGTCAAGATATAGAATAAAAGAAATGAGGGGGAGAGATAGGCAAATAAAAGGAGGGATTGTAGTATCTTCTGAGCATGTGGAGATTTTTTCCAGAACATAGGCACCACCTCTTTTTGCTCTTTTTGTGGTTCTTTCTGATTGTCATTATGGAAGTTTTCAACTGTCATGGAAGTGGGGATGGCGTTGTCATTGAGTATACAGATGGGATTTTAATGAAATTCAAGTTTGTCTGGCCCTTGCTCTGACAGCCATCTTAAATCTGACTGGTTTGGTACAGCCCACCTGCCAAGGGACTTCTGGCCTTCAGGTATCATGTTCTCAAAGATAAACGAGACTAGGGAGGGTAGAAAATCAGCTGAGCCACTCGGTAACACTTCAGGGGAAGGAGGTCAGGGAAGAAAGGGCATCCAGTGTCATGGTTTCTTTCAGTATATTGATCTGTGAGCATCTGCAAACCTCAAAACTAACCAAGGATAAGAAATTGGGCTGGGGATGTAGCTCAGTGGTAGAGTGCTTGCCTAGCATGCAAGAGGTCCTAGTAACTGAAAAAAAAGAAAGAAAGAAGTTATTATGGGTAGTTTTTCTTTTTTAAAAAACACTAATATCATTATGGTTTTTCTTTATTTGTTCATTTTAGTTATACATTGACAGTACAACTTCCCATTTTTGTGGTTATTCGTGATGTGGAGTTACACTGGCCATGTATTTATATATGAACATAGGAAAGTTATGTCCAATTAATTCTACTGATTTCCCATTCCCATCCCCCTCTCCTTCCCCGACTCCACCTGGTCCAATCTAATAAACCACCCCTTCTCCCTGCACCCACCACTGCCTATTGTGAGTTAGCATCCACAAGTCAGAGAGAACGTTCAGCATTTGGTTATTTGGCACTGGCTTATTTCACTTAGCATGATATTTTCCAGTTCCATCCATTTATTGGCAGATGCTATGATTCCATTCTTCTTTATGGCTAAGTAATATTTATTGTGTATATATACCACATTGTCTTTACCCATTCATTTGTTGAAGGGCACCTAGGTTGGTTCCATAGCTTAACTATTGTGAATTGAGCTACTATAAACATTGATGTGGCTGCATCACTATAGTATGCTGATTTTAAATCCTTTGGGTACATACTGAGGAGTAGGATAATTGAGTCAAATGGTGGTTCTATTCCAAGTTTTCTAAGAAATCACCGTACTGCTTTTTAGAGAGGTTGCACCAATTTGCAGTCCCCCCAGCAATATATAAGTGTACCTTTTCCCCCACATTCTCACCAACATTTATTGTTACTTGTGTTCTTGATAAAGCCATTCTGAGTGAAATGGAATCTCAATGTAGTTTTAATTTCATTTCTCTAATTGCTTGAGTTGTTGAATATTTTTTCATATTTTTTGACCATTTGTATTTCTTCTGTGAAGTGTCTGTTGAGTCTTTAGTTAGCTCATTTATTGACTGGGTTATTTGGTTTTTTGGCATTAAGTTTTTTGAGCTCTTTATATATCCTGGAGATTAATACTCAATCTGAGGTGTAGGTGGTAAAGATTTTCTCCCATTCTGTGGGCTGTCTCTTCACGTTATTGTTTCCTTTCCTGTGAAAAAGCTTTTTAATTTGATACCATCCAGTATATTGATTCTTGATTTTACTTCTTGTACTTTAGAAGTCTTGTTAAGGAATTCAATTCCTATGGTAAAATGATGGAGAGTTGGGCCTATGTTTTCTTCTAGTAGGCACAGGGTCTCTGGTCTAATGCCTAGATCCTTGATCCACTTTGAGTTGAGTTTTGTGCATAGTGAGAGATAGAGATCTAATTTCATTTTTTTCCCCAACACCATCTGTTGAAGAGGTTATCTTTTCTCCAATGTAATTTATGGTGTCTTTGTCTAGTATAAGGTAATTGTATTTATGTGAGTTTGTCTCTGTGTCTTCTATTCTGTACCACTGGTCTTCATGTCTGTTTTGGTGCCAATACCATACTGTTTTTGTTTCTTTTGTTTAGTTATATAGTATAATTTAAGGTCTGGTATTGTGATGCCTCCTGCTTCACTTTTCTTGCTGAGAATTGCTTTGGCTATTTTGGGCCTCTAATTTTTCCAAATGAATTCAATGACTGCTTTTTCTATTTCTATGAAGAACATCATTGGAACCTTAATAGGAAATTTAAATCTTTATAGCATTTTTGGTAGTCTGGCCATTTTGACAATACTAATTCTGCCTATCCAAGAATATGGGAGATCTTTCCATTTTCTAAGGTCTTCTTTAACTTCTTTCTGTAGAGTTCTGTAGTTTTCATGGTAGGGGTCTTTCACCTCTTTTGTTTTATTTTATTTTATTTTTGAGGTTAATATTTTATTTTTTTGAGGCTATTGTGAATGGGGTAGTTTTCCTAATTTCTCTTTCAGTTGATTCATCACTGATGTGTAAGAACACAACTTATGGATGTTAGTTTTATATACTGCTAGTTTGCTGAATTCACTTTTGAATTCTAGAAGTTTTCTGGTGGAGTTTTTTGGGTCTTCTAAATATAGAATCATGTCATCAGCAAATAGGGATATATTGAGTTCTTCTTTTCCTATTCATATTCCTTTAATTTCATTCTTCTGTCTAATTGCTCTGGCTAGAGTTGCCAGGATTATGTTAAATAGAAGTAGTCAAAGAGGGCACCCTGTCTTGTCCCAGTTTTTAGAGGGAATTATTTAAATTTTTCTCCATTTAGAATGATGTTGGCCTGGGGAATAGCAGAGATAATGTT